CCCCCCCCCCCCCCCCTAAAAAAAAACCCCCAAAGCCTCCCCCGACCAAGGGGGCGTACCAGCGGGTGCCGAGGCCAAGGGCGCATGTGGAGGCTTCACACACGCCCTGAGCAGCACAGGTCGAGAGGAGGATTCCCATGGTGGTCAAGTGTGTGGTGGTGGTGGCGAGGAAGGGGACCGGCACGTGACGGCCAATGTTGGCCAACGAGAGAGGGCAACGATTAACGCCAACAACAACGCCAACAACAACGCCAACAACAACAACAACAATGATTATGGTTATGGTTATGACGATAAACGTCAACAAACAACAACAACGATTATCGTCAGTACCGCTCTCCTCCAACCATGGGGCAGGACACGTCCAAGGAGAGGCCACCCGGTCCACATACAGCAGACAAGGCCGCACCAGAGGTGGTGTACAAGCCACGGAAGATTGTTACGGTCCACGCAGCTGCCGTCGACGGACCGCGGGAGGGCACGCTCGAGAGCAGACGGGCAAAACGGGCTCAGGCAAGCAAGGCCATCCGGACTATGCTAGAGACTACGCCCATCCCGCCTGCCCTGCTCAAGTCTGCGATGAAGTCGCTCCTCCAGGACGTCTTTGTCTCACCCAACAAGGCTGCCGGTGAGACGCCGACCATCGATCCGCAAGCCATCATCCGCGCAGGCGCCTTTCTGCAGGACTACCAGCGCCGCATGTTCCACTCGGTCGTCCTGGAGCAGTCCAAGGTCTGCACCGCTATGCGCGGCCTCGAGCAGCTGTTTGCTCAGCGGACCGCTGCAGTCATTGCCGCTCAGGAGGCCGTCGCCTCTGCCGCCGTCTCGCTCAACTCACTCAACTCGCTCGCTACGTCGCTCGCAGACTTGCGAACCCGCCTCGGCGATGCCCTGCTCCAGACTCACGCCATGACTGCTGCCCTCTATGATCTAGAAGCCCTCGAGCCATCAGGCGTCATCGATGACTCGGATTCTGCTCTCCATCCCTTTGTGTGGCCCACCTACGATGGCCTGCCCCAGGCCGCCCTGCCGCGAGTCGAGGCCCAGCCCGCGGCTCCACCGCGCCTGCAGCTCCTCTCCGGCAGCAGCGACTCGTCCGACGGTGCCGATCCTAGCGTGCCGATTCTGATGCCGCCGCCTATCTTTACTCCGCCTAGCGGTACAAGCTCCACCTGAGCACCTCACCACTCGATGGCACTCGCCATCTCGCGAATTGGTGAGACAATCCGCTCGTCGAGCAACGGATGCGCGCCGGTCTCGGTATGCGCCGCAATCCGCAAAATGTCCTCGATGAGGCCCGAGTTGCCGAGCAGGTCAACGTGGTCGGCAGTGCCTGGCCCTCCGCGCGGGTCAAACGGCGCGTTGACGTGCTCGTACTCGCGCGTCACCACAGGCATCTTGCCGGGGTTGTACTCGTCGCGCCGCCACAGGTCCGCGCACATCAGCCCGAGCGAGATGAGCGGGACCGTGCCGTCGCCGAGCGAGTCCTGCACCCCATGAAGCAGGCCGCGCTCGCGCTCGGTCGCCTCGATGTCGATCTCCCGCCGCAGCACGTTTTCTCCCGATCCGCGCACCGCTGTCGCGTTGCTCCCACCCACTGCGTCGTCGTCGACCGGCTCGCCGCCCGCCTCGTGGTCGCGGTAGTGAAACGTCCGCTCCGCCGGCAGCCCCGTCCCGTACAAGCAGTAGATCTTGGTTGTCGGCGCGACCGGAAGCGGCGTCTCCAACACGTTGCTCCACACTCCGGGCTCCTCCGCCACCCGTGCCGCGTGCTCCTCCGGGCTCTCACCGGGCACCGGCCGGTGTTTGTCCCCCAGTGAAAACTGCGCCGTCACTCGCTCCCACCAGCCCGGCGCAAGCTCGCTGAACCAGCTCCCGAGGTCGTCGGCGTAGTACACTCGCTCCTCACCGCTCGATTGCTTGTACCGCAGCATCGGTGCGAGACTAAACGACGCCGGCGCCGTCACGTTGAACGCCGGGAATGTCGCGTTTGCTGCGAGATCGTCCGGTGCCCCAGCCTCGGCCGAGCCCCACACCCGCGACCCGCCCTTGGGCAGCATCACCGCCACCGAGAACCACGACCGGAACATCCGCATCCGTGCTGTCCGCGCAAACACCTTGTCTAGTAGCAATCCCTCGAACATGCCCATGTGGGCCGAGTTGCGCATCTCGCCCGACGCAAGCGATGCCACAGCCTTGGGCACGCCCAGCAGCGGCGCTGCAATCGGCACTACAGCCTCGATGTACGTGTCCACCCACTGCGGCCCGCGTTGCCGCCCCACGGCGCCTCCACCCACTTGAGAAAGTAGAACATGACGTTGCCGCCCAGCGAGTGGCCCATCACCACCGGCGCCACCCCGTCATTGAGCTCGTACGCCAGCTCGATTGTCGACTTGAGCTTGGAAAAGTACCCGTCGCGAGCCTGCATCTCGCTCAGCGACAATCGCCAGTCGTACGACGCCATGAACATCGAGTTCGAGTCGTAGCCCACCCGCGCGAGATTGGCAATGAGCTTGCCCCACACCCAAAAGCCTGGAAAGAGATAGTCGGCAGCCTCGAGCGACTCGGCCGCGCGGACTCGGACGCCTGACGGATCCTTGCCCTCGGCTGTGAGGCAGATATGGTCAAGCCAGCAGTGCTTGTCCGTCATAAACGACGCAAACATTGTCGTCGTTCCCCAGATTCGCGACCGGAAGTAAGACGCCGCGCACGGCCGGCCCTCCCACAGGTGCAGGCCGGTCGAGACAATGCCGGGGATGAAGATCAGCGGGTGGTGTGCCCGCACGCCCTCGGTCGCCAGACGCTGGCCCACTCCGTCAAAGTTGGTCGAGTTGACCACAGAGAGCGTGTTGCCCAGCGCGTCAAGAGCCTCCCGCAGTGGCCCGGCCACAGTCTCGGGCAAGTTGGCCAGCACCGCCGTCGAAGCCACCTGCGCCGTGCTCTGCTGCGACATCGAGCCCACAATCATCGCCAGCATCGCCACCGCCACTGCCACCACCGTCCACGACACACACCTAGTGAGGAAGCAAAACACCTGCGTACTTCGCCGCCGGCCGTGCTTTGTGCCTCGTCCACCATCGCCCTTCCTGCCAGCACCCTCAGGCGTGCTCGGCCCCGGTGCCGCCTCCAGCTCATCGCAGTTGGCTAGCCCGCTGTTGCCAAACTCTGCTTCCGTCTCGTCATCCACCACCAGCGCTGTCTCAGTCGCCACCGCGTGTCTGCCCTCGCCCGTCCTAGCCGCCCGGCGTGATGTCCGCCGCCCTCGCGCCCGGCTCGCGTCACTCGGTCGCCCCATTCTCATCCGTGCACGCTCTTCCTCGGTGTAGACGGCGAGAATGACCGCACGACCACCACGCCCATCACCGCCGCCGCCGCCGCCTTTGTCACTACCCCCATTGCCGTCTCCTCTTGTGCGCTCTCGTCGACGTTGGGACTGCGTCATGCGAGCCACACCAGCTGTGGTCCGAGTGTGGTGTGTGACACGGCGGCCGACCGACGACGACCTGTCACCTCCGCATCGCCACGTGGCTGGTCCTGCCGCATCCGATCGTTTCCAGCATCCAAGACCAAGCTCAGCCAATCCGACAGCTCCTTCATCAAGCTCAAGGGAGTCCAAACATCAGCGTCATGGCTGGCTGTGGTGTAATGGCTGCGTTTTGCTTTGTTTATTCGCTGCCCACAGTCGGTGGCGCAAGGTCGGCTCGGCTGGCTGACGGACTCGGCGTGCCTGCAGTGGGATCGGCCGACGCGGCGGCGTCCGCCACAGGATCGGAGACCGGCTCTACACCCGGGTCAGTCGATGGTGCACCGTGGGCGAGCGCCGCAGACGCGGTGACCGCGTTGAACGACCGCCGAAGCTTGCGGCGGCTAGAGCGGGAGAGACGGGTGCGGAGGCCGACGACCTCATCCTCGAGGGCGGCGACCCGGGATTGCGCGCTCGCTGCCTCCTCGGACCGCTCCGCGAGCTCCTGCCGAAGGACCTTGGTGTGCTTCTCGGCGTCCTTGAGCTCGGCCTCGAGATGGAACAAGATCTCGAGTTGGCGAGCTTGGCGAGTTTGGCGGTCTTGGCCTTCTCGGTCTCGAGCGCAGCCTTGAGCACGCTAATCTCGGCCAGCTGCTGGGTCACCATCACGTTTGCCGCATTCAACTCGACCCGCAGCATCTTGAGCTGGGCATGAGGCGAGGCCGAACGATCCTTACTGCTGGCCAGCGAACCTGTCGAACCGACAAACTCGGCGTCGTCGAGCGAGGTCGAGATCTCAAACGCGCGCACCTTTTGGCAAGCTCAGCCTCGGACTCGCGCGCCGCACGGAGCTCGGCCTCGAGCTCGATGATCTGCTCCGGTGCAGGCCCAGTCGTGAGCGAGGTGTTGAACGAGGAGTTGAGCGCGGCACCGGCGGCGATGCCAGTCGGCATCAGCGTGGCCGACCCCGTCTCAAACGGCGTGGCGTTGATCATGTTGGCGTCGAGCATGGTCTGAAGGACGTGGACCCGATCGCGCAGCTGCTTGTTGTGCAGCCGCGCATCCTGCAGTGATTGTTCGATGTCGCGGAGGACCTTGCCGCGCGACGACGCCTCCACCTTTTTGATCTTAGCCTCGGCGTTGGCGAGCGCTGCCCGGGTGACCTTAGCCGAGTCCATGTGCCGCGCCACAAGCAGGTGCGAGGCCTCGACCTCTTCGCGGAGAGCGCCGACCTCGGCCCGCAGCTCCGCCTCGCTCATGTCTTCCACCTTTGTCGCCTTGCGCACCCGGAGGTACGTGGCGTTGGCGTCGAGCTTGACCTTGAGCGCCTCGTTCTCGGTCTGCAGGCTGCTGATTTGCCGCTCAAGCTCGGCCATATCTGCCAGCGTGCTGACCGCCATCGAGACCGGCCGCGACGCCTTGCCCGACGCCGGCCGTCCTCCGCGCATCGGCACCGGCGAGTCCGCCGCGTCCGACCCGCTTGCCATGCTCTCAAACAACGGGTTCGACGGCATCCGTGGCACGCTGCCCGACTCGCTGGCGCCCGACGACTCGCCACCCACCCCCTCGTCGGCCAGCACCGCTGCCGCAGTCCCTCGCCGCGACTTGCGGTCCTTGCGCTTGGCCTTCATCTTGGCCACCAGCTTGGCCGAGCGCTCACGTTCGTCGTCAAGTGCAGACTCGAGGTCCTGCAGCTTGACCACCAGCCGCGACTCGGACGCCCGCAGCTCGCGGACCTCGACCTTCCGGCGCTGGAGCTTGTGCTGCAGCTTCTGGATATACACCGCATACTTGCCGATCTTACGCCGCGCTTCCTCGGGTACCCCGCCGCTTCCTGCATCGCCGTCAACACTCTCCAACAGCGAGCGGAGCATCTTGATCTCTGCTCGCAGCATCTCGTTGCGGGCCTCCATCGCACTCTCGCCGCTCCCGTCCGCGCTTCCGCAGACTCCGCTCGCCGCTCTGCTACCGGCAGCGTTGTCGTGCAAGACGGTCCGCCGCAGCGATTCCGAGTACTGTCTGTCCGACGGCGAGACCGAGTGGGCCAGAACCGAGTGGCGGGCCTCCAGCTCTGACCGCAGGCGATCCAACCTCCGCTGCAGCTCGTCCTGCTGCAGCTTCAAGCGGTTGTCCAGCGCCCGCGCCTTCATCCTCCACGCCGAGTCATCAAACTCAGCCTCCGAGTACAGCCCACCTGGTCCCGGCCCAGCCGCCAGCCTATCAACGTCACCGGGCCCTCCATCATCCGCCGCCCGAGTCAGCCCGCCGTTCCCGATTTTGGCCAAATCCGTTTCCACACTTTCGACTCTGTCCGAGGCAACGCCCGCCGAGCTGCCACCAGCAGTACCATGAATCCCACCATGGCTACCATTACTGCCGTTACCATTGTTGCTGGTCTCACTACCAACGTCGTCGTCGTCGTCGTCGCTGTTGTTGTTGCTGTTCCCCTCCGCCGCATCGGCAAAGTCCTCCAGCTCTTCCAACTTCAGCCGACCAGACTCTGCCTCATACCCACCACCACCACCACCACCACCACCACCATCACCATCACCACCACCACCACCACCGCCTACATACACAACATCACCCTCTTCAAACAGTGGCACAGTAGCCATGTCCTTCTCCTTGCTACTGTTACACACAGAGTGAGTGCAGTCTGTCGTCTACGCAACTCTCTCGCAGTGGTCAAACCGCCGCATCTGCTCAGCTAGAGGCCAACCTTGGTGATGATGATGGCAAGGGGCGTCAGTCAGTACCGTTGGGCCTCTCGCCCACAGAGTCAATAAGCTCCATCGACCGACGGCAATAAGCTCCATCGGCCGACGGCCAAGTCGATCGGTACTGTTGGAGGATGGACGGCTGTTTGACGTGGCGTGTGGGGATGGTTTTGGGTCATGGCCATCGTGGAGGGGTGGCTGCTGGCACGGACAGCACAGGCAGTTGCAGACAGCAGAAACAGCAGAAACAGCAGAAACAGCGTAAGTCAGAGGGGAACCCGATCGGCGACGTGTGCGTGATCAAAGGTGTACCGAGATCATTGGCCAGTGCAGGGGAGGGGATGTATGACAGACGCACCATCATGGCTGGTCGTGGTCATCATGGTCATCATCACCTCCACCCTCACCATCACCATCAACCATCACCACCACCACCACCACCATCACCCCCACCATCACCATCAACCATCATCCCCACCATCACCATCAACCATCACCCCCCTCCCCTCCCGCATCCCCTACCCTCCCTCACCCGACTCCTACCATGCCTACCAAGCGCGGACGCGTGTCCGGATACTCTGGGTATGTCCCTCCCTCCCCCCTCCCCCCTGCCCTCTCCAACTTTCCTCTATCCATCATGCCCATACCCGTCGTCCTCACCTCCCCTGTCAACCGTTTCTTCTGTCGTTGATTCTTCACGTCGTCCACCACCCTCTCTCCTGCCCCACCATACTCATTCCACACATCATCCGATCAACTCTCAACCACAGTCATATCCCAGGTCTTCAGGCTACTTTGGGCGTGGCTACTGGCGACTATGCATCGTGGCGGTTCACTCGTGATGTCTCGCCGAGAAAGAAGGGCATGACAACGGCTTCCACTTATGCTCGTCGTATGGCGGCTCGTGCTCATGCTCGCTTGCATGGCGTGGAGGCTCGCCAGTCTTGTACCCGTGCCCGTACCCGTTCAGCCTCTGCTACACGCTCGGCTTCCCGATCGTCGCCCCGCTCGGCGTCACGCTCGGCGCCCCGATCAGCATCCAGATCGTCGCCGTCATCGACGCCTCCGGCAAACAACGAGCTGGCGGCTGAGCCTGCGTCCGCAAGCAACAAGCCGCCATCGGCAGCGTCGACCCTGTCCGAGCTCAACCGCCGCCGGCCGACCACCGCCGTCTCGCCGGTCCATGCCTACAAAGACGATGCAGCACAGCCGCCTCGCCCGGCGTCGGTCGCCTCGTCGCGCCCGATGTCTGGGCGCGCCCAGCGCCGCAAGGCCATGGGCACTCTCTCCAACCGCAAGCTTGTCGAACGACTCAACGGCGGCCTCGCCCGAGGCCGCATCACCGGCTACGGCGGGCACACCATGGGCCTCATCAACGCCACAGGCGTCCAGACCGGACCGTACCTTGTCTCGCGCTTCGACACCGAGGAGGCCGAGCGCCACCAGCGTCTTCCGACACACGCCCGCCAGGACTCGCTCCTCACCGTCCCCGATGCCTTTCTCGCGGCAGTCGGCCCCGGCACCGTCTCATCGTCGTACGCCGGCCATCAGCCGGGCTTCCAGTTTGTCACCGGCCTGTAGCCATGCTCATGCCCATCCAACAACAACCAGCCCCCCCTCCCCCCTCCCCCCTCCCCATACTATGCTCATCCCCGATGACCTTCCCGATCCCTGTCGTGACTTGGAGCGGGACAAAACCGGAGACTGCTGCCGTTTTCGACTCTTTGGCGCGCCAATGCGGCGACGGGCAGTCTTCCCCGCCACAGCGGCAAGGTCAAGGCCGAGAGTCAGGGCCAGTGAACGGAACGGCTTACTGTGACTAACTAACTGATTCTAATGACTGACTAAATGACTAACAGCTAATGCGTATCGTCACTACAGTTTCTTCGTCAGCTCAAAGTCGAAAAGCATGGACATGGACCAAGTTCCTGACCTGCGGGTCTCCGCCCTCAAGTCGCTATGTGTGGCAGGTACAGCCATTGCCTCTACTGTTGCTATGGGTTCACTACAGTATCAAACCCATTCAGACTATCATGATCATGCTGATCATGCTGATCATGCTGATCATGCTGGCGAGTCTGCTGATAGTCATCGTCGCGACCAGAACCCGCTCACTCCCTCTCCGCTTCGTCTCATGCGGGACATGACAAGATCGGATGCAGAGATCGATGCCCTCATCTCTAGGGTAGAGTCCATCGTCTCCGCAGATGGCTTGACTTGGGTCGACTCGACTGAAATACCGCCTGCAGCAACTCCACAGTCTCCGCACTCTCCGGCAGCGACTCTGCTTTCCAAGCCTGCAAGCTCCGGCTCGGATCTGGTCGCTGCCGCCCTCGCCGCAGCTGCAGCAGAGGATGGCGACTCATCGTCGGGCTCGGACTTGCTTATGCTAGTCTCTGACGACGACGAAGTCGAGCCTGTGCCGCGGCTACCGCCTGCGGCTGCAGGTACACCTGATGATGACGACACCAAGTCTGAGGGCGAGGTTGTGCTCGACGAGCCTGTCTTCCTCTCCGAGGCGCAGCTGCTCGACGACGTGGCGCCGTTTCTCGATTCGCTCAACGCGGCGCTTCCCAGCCCGCTCACCGCCGAAGAGCTTTCTGCTGTTGTCGATGCCATGGCCGAGACCGGTATGACCCAAATTGTCCACATGCACAGCCTGACTTGGCCGGACGCGCTCGAGCTCGGCATGTCCAAGGCGCTCTTTGCAGCCGCCTTTACCGCTCTCTACCCGACCAAGACACCATCGTTTGCGCTGGTCACGCCGCCAGAGCCAGCACCTCGCCCCACGGCGACACTGCCGTCGCCGCGCGATCCAGCATGGAAGATCGAACTCTCGCAGGCCAAGATTGAGGCCTTTCGCCCGGTCGACCAGTTCTACGTCTCGTTCTTTGCCCGCTGGTTTGTCCTCTACTACAACATCTACCCGCACGCCACCAAGCGCGAGTTTGCGCTTGCCCAGCGCGAGCTGGTCGCGCCCTGGAAAGTCGCCTTTGATCCGCTCGGCCTCGGCGAGCACGCGCTCTCGCCGTTTTCTGTCGAGCCGAGTGCGCGCGCCGCGCCCGGGTCCGGTACCCCAGCGGTGCCTGGCGGCTCAACTCCGCCGGTCGGCCCCGGCCGCACTGCCGATGTGGCCGCGCTTGGCGCCGAGCTGCGGTCACTCCATCGCTCGGTTGTGGCTGCCCTCTCCACAGCATCCGGCACCGCACTCGATGACGCCCTCTACTTGCTACAGCTCCTCAACGCGCTGCCGGCCATGGCGGCGCTCTTCGCCGATCCGGCGCTCGCCACCAGCGAGGCGCTGCTGGCAAGGGTCTACGCCCCTGTCATCGACGGCTTCTTTGGCCCCCGCCATAACTTTACCGTCCGCCGCTCCGCCCCGGTTCCTTGGATGTCTGGTGAGCTTGTGCCCTCGCTTGTTATTGAGCTCGCGTCGACTCGGCTTCCGCTGCTGGTGGCCGAGACCGCGACACCGCCGCCGGCATCGGAACCGAGCGTCGACGACAGCAGTCTGTCGGAGGCTGTCGCCAAGCTCGGCGCCGAAATGACGATGGCGCTCACCTTTTTGCGCCGGACAGTGCCTGCGAGCGTCCTCGTCGACCTCTCGACCCGCTTTACCCTCTTTGGCCTCGTCATCGCAGGCCGCCGGGTTTACGTCTACTTTCTCGGCTACGACACGGCAGGCAACGACTACGTCTTGCAGCACTACGCGCGTGCCGGGCTCAACATGGCGATCCCGGCGGACGTGCTTGCCCTCGCCCGCCTCATGCGCCGGATCCACGACCTAGGCGTCGCTCTCGACGGCTGGATGGTCAGCTCTCCGCCGCCACTGGCGGGGCACGCGCCCGCCGCCCTCGCCGCCCCGTCGCTCCCTGCCCCTTCGCCGCGCAAAATGACCGGCCCGCCGCCGTCAGTCCTCGCGCCTCCTCGGTCATACCTGCAGCCACTGGTCCCGCCGCCGCAGCCGTCGCGGGCCGACGCTTCTCCCGCTGACGCCGAGGGCACCGTCAACGACTCGTCGAGCTACTTCTCCACCACATACTCGTCGGTCTCCGACTCAAGCTCAGGTGCGGTCAAGAGCCAGGCTGCTAAGTTTCCGCAGCCTGCCAATCTCGCCGAGCTCCGCCGGCTCGGTTACGCCATCACCCAGACCATTGCCAAGCACAAGGATACCGTGGTGTATTTGGCGGCGGTGGAGCGAGTCCCGCGCGCCGCCGCCCATCGCGCCACCATCGGCGACCTAGTCGCCATCAAGCTCGTCGATCGCGCCGCGTCGGTGCGGACCCAGCCGCGTGAAGTTCGCATTCTCCGCAACCTCGACGGCGCGCACCACACCCAGCAGTTTGTCGCCTGGCACGTCATCAAGGAGACCTCGTGCTTTGCCGTCGTCACCAAGTACTACAAGCCGGTCCGCGGTGGGCCGGCCTCCAAGCACGAGATCCGCCGCTACGTCCGCCAAGTCCTCGAAGCGCTCGCCTACTGCCACCAAAACGGCATCATCCACCGCGACATCAAGCCGGCAAACGTCATCTTTGAGGCCGAGTCACGGACCGCAGTCCTCATCGACTTTGACTGCTCCAAGCCGTTCAACTCGGCCGCCCCGCCCACTTCAGAGGTCGGCACCCCGGGCTACATGGCGCCCGAGATCCTCGACATCAAGCGCGGCAAGCGAAGCCGTGGCTACTCGTACGCCGTTGACATCTTCTCGCTCGGCATTGTCTTTGGAGGCCTGCTCTTCAAGGCGGAGCTCAAGCGCCGCCCGACTCGGAGCAAGCTCCTCGAGCTCATGGCCAACTCGCGCCGCCGTTCTTCCGGCCATCGCCTCCTCCGCAAGATGCTCGAGGTCGACGACTCGGTCCGCATCACCGCTCTCGACGCCCTCTCCGAGCCGTACTTTCTCAAGGCCACCTCATGGACTCTCCCACCCATCAAGACCTGGTCCAAAGACTACGTCGCGGCCCACGACGCCGACGCTCTCCGCGAGTTTGGCCTCCAGCCCAGGCCCCGTCGTACCTCTCGCAGCTCTCGCTCCAACCGCGTCTCCCAAGCCCCAGCATCAACTGCCACCGATCGCGATCCTGATCCTGCCAATCCTACGTCAGTGCCGTTGTCTGACCCGCCCGCGCCGCGGCCCCGCTTCCGCTCATAACACAAGCGCCCTTTGTGCCTGCGAACCCGATCGCGCCCGCGATCACCCCTCTCCCCCCCCCCCCCCCCTCCCCCATACCCATGCGCCGCCGCCGGGTGCTCAAGCCCTTCCCCACATCCAAAAAGGCCAAGCTCCTGTCTGGAGCCCCATCGCTCAAGAAGCCCTTTCGCCCACCCCGTCCTCTCGGTGGAACTGGGGCCCGCGACAATGCCGGTGGAGAGGGGGCCAGTTCTACGACCTTTTCTGGACCGCCGGCTGTGAGTGCGGCCGCCGGCACTCCTTCCGCCAGCGTTCCCACGACGACCTCGCCTGCAGCAGCACCTCGTGGTCGTGGAAGGCTCCGTGGGCGTGGGCTTAGCCGCAGCAGGGGCCTGGGCCGCGGCCGGGCCCCACTTCACCGCGGCTTCAAGCCGCCCACGGCCCGGGCTGGGGCGGCCGCGGGCAGGCCGGCCGCGACCGGCGGAAGCAAAGCCGATGAGTCGGTGAAGAAGCGGTACTACGCCGTAGTGTGGCGCAAGTACACCAGAAAGAAGCACAAGACGTGGGATGGCGACGGCGTGCTGGTCATGACCGGCTCGTCGGTCACCCTCCTCAACGACGAGGGCAAGCAAATCGCAAAGTCGCGGCTTCAGGGGCCCGGCGCGTCGATGGCGCTGACCGAGGGCGAGGAGCTGACCTTTTCGTCCAAGGAGGTCGAGGTCATGGGCACCATCGCCGAAGCCGACTTTCTCTCGGGCAAGGCCTTCCTTGGCGGCGCATCTGCCGGTCTCGCCCCGCCGCTCGCAGCCGTCCCGCGGTCCAAGGCAGGCCGAGCCCGCAAGCCTGTCACCGACGCCAACGCACCAGGCGCGCCCAGCTCGGACTTTGTGACGCCGTCAGGCTCACTTGGTGCGCGCGGACATGCCGCTGCACGATCGACTGCGCTCTACTCGCCAGATACGCCCGATGCGCTCGTGCTTCACCGCGATCCACACGGCGGGAGCCGCGCAGGCCTCTCGGTCGTCCTCGCGCCCAAGCTCACACGCATCCTCCGCCCGCATCAGAAGGAGGGCGTGGCGTTCATGTACAAGTGTGTAATGGGCCACGGTGGCTTTGCCGGCTCGGGCTGCATCCTCGCCGACGAGATGGGCCTCGGGAAGACCATCACTGCGCTCTCGCTTGTCCACACCCTCCTCAGCCAGTCGGAGGTCAAGGCTGCGCGATCGGCGGCAGAGAAGGCCATTGTCGTCACGCCGTCGTCGCTGGTTAAGGGCTGGGAGCTCGAGATCCGCAAATGGCTCGGTTTCACCCACCTCCCGCCCATCACCATCCACCACATGTCGAAGAAGGAGATCAAGGCTGCCGTCGCCGAGTTTGTGGCGGGCAAGGTCAAGAATCTGCTCATCATCTCGTACGAGCAGTTTCGAGTCCACGCCAAGGCCATTTGCAAGGCCAACGTCGGCTTGCTGGTGTGCGACGAGGGCCATCGCCTGAAGAACGCCGAGATCAAGACCGCCAAGGCGCTGCTCAAGCTCAACACCAAACGTCGCATCATCCTTACAGGCACCCCGGTCCAGAACGACCTCAAGGAGTTCTTCTCGGTCGTCGACTTTGTCAACCCGGGCATCCTCGGCGAGTACCCCACTTTCCGCCGCATCTTTGAAGAGCCGATCGCCAAAGCGCAGGAGCGCAACGCGTCGCCGGCAGTCGTCGCTCTAGGCAAGGCCCGCTCCGACGAGCTCGCCCGCATCACATCGCAGTTTATTCTTCGCCGGACGCAGTCCATGATGCGCAAGTACCTGCCACCCAAGGAGGAGCATGTGCTGTTCATCAAGATGAACCCGCTGCAGGAGGCCATCTACGAGGCCTTTGCCCGCGCAAAGCTCTCGGGCATGGCCTCGGCCAAGGACCTCTCGTTCTCGTGGGCGCTCGCGTGCATCACCACCCTCAAGAAGATCTGCAACCACCCCGCGCTGGTGCTCTCGCGCTCGACCGCCGCCATGGAGGCCGCCGCCGCTGCCGGTGAGAGCGACGACGACGACGCCGCGGAGGACCCCGACGACGGCCCACTCGTTCTCGACTCGCTTGAACTCCCGCGCGAGCTCCGCGAGGCTCTTGAGGACTACCCGTCGCTGACCTCGTCGACCGCCGCCATCGTCCCGGAGCTCTCGTCCAAGATGCAGGTCCTCCTCGGCCTCCTCGACCACCTCGCGGCGTCGACGACCGACAAGATTGTCATTGTCTCCAACTACACCCAGACCCTCACGCTCATTGCCGACATCCTCGAAGCCCGCGGCATGCTCTTCCTTCGGCTTGACGGCTCGGTGCCGGCTGCCAAGCGGCCGTCGCTCGTCACTCGCTTCAACGCCGCAGGCGATACCGAGCGCATTTTCCTGCTCTCGGCCAAGGCCGGCGGCGTCGGCCTCAACCTCATCGGCGCTAACAGGCTCGTCATGCTCGACCCGGACTGGAACCCGGCAACCGATCTCCAGGCCATGGGCCGCGTTTGGCGCGACGGCCAGACCAAGCGGGTCATCCTCTATCGCTTCCTCACCACCGGCACCATCGAGGAGAAGATCTGGCAGCGCCAGATCATGAAACAGGGCCTCTCCGATGTCATCGTCGACGACAATGCCGCCAAGACTGGCTCGTTCACCAACTCGGAGCTCCGCAACTTGTTCAAGTACAACGCCAACACCCTCGCTGACACCCACGACCTCATCGGCTGCCTCTGCTCCTCGGACGGTACGCCCATCAACGGCATCGCCCTCACACAGGCCGCCGTCGATGCCTCGGCCGCCGCTGTCGCCGCTGTCACTGAGGACTCGCTCCTCGACTCGGCCCTCGACGCGCTCGACGACGCCGATCTCACCCCAGCAACGCCCGTCGCCCTCACCCCGCCCGCCGCCGACGCTGCCGCTGCCGCTGCCGCTGTCACCGCTTCCGCAGACCAAGAATCCGAAGTCGAGGTGTGGAACCATGTGGAGTGGCCTTCGGCCGTCGGCGATCTCAACGTCGGCACCCTCACCTCGTCCATCTCGCTCACCCCCAACGAGCCGTCGTCCGGTCCACGGCCGCTCGTCTCGTTTGCCTTTACCTCGCAGCTCGAGTCGCAGCGCGGCAAGAGCAACTGACGACGCAACTCCGCGGAGCCACCCGTCTCGACTTGCACCCAGCCCCAGCCAAGCACCGCACGGTAAAGGAGCGAGCCGGCGAAGCGGCAGAAGGAGGCATGGCCGAGGCGAGCAAAGGGTGCGGCGGAGGGAGGGACAAGGTCGCGAGCCGGCGGTCGACTCGGTTTGCGGGCGCTGAGCTCGCTGCTGGCGTCGCGTCGGGTGTCGCGTCGCGGCTGGTTGTCGCTCCGCTCGACGTGCTCAAGCTGCGACTGCAGGTGCAGACTCGGGTAGCTTCCGAAGCTCGCGGCAAGCATGTGTACTCATCGATGCGACACGCGGTGGTCCAGATCGTCAAGACCGAAGGATTGGTCGGGCTCTGGCGCGGCAATGTGGCCGGCAATCTGATGTACATGGGCTACGCGCCCATCAACTTCTTTGTCTACCACCAGATCCGGGTTGCGGCCTCGGACAACGACGCCGACCCGTCGCAGCCGCTGCCGTGGATGTCATCGCTTGCTGCCGGCGCCCTGTCTGCGTCGGTGGCCACGCTCGCCACCTATCCGCTGGATCTGATGCGGACCCTGTTTGCCACCCAGGGCGAGCCCAAGGTCTACCACACCCTGCTCGAGTCGACGAGGATCAGAATCTCCACCGATGGTCTGCTTGGCCTCTACCGCGGCCTCGGTATCACTCTTGTCCAGACGGTGCCGTACGTGGCAATCCAGCTGACTCTCTACGAGGAGGTCAAGGCCCGCGCCTTTGCCCACGACAACTTCCGCATGCCGATGTGGGCGTCTGCTGCTGTGGGTGCCTCATCCGGTGCACTCGCCAAGTTTGCCGTCTATCCGCTTGACCTCGTCCGCCGACGCATGCAGGTTCAGGGCCTGGAACGATCGGCCGAGTACGGAGGGCGACTTCCTTCGTACACATCGTCATGGCAGTGCCTCCGCGCCACACTCCACCTCTCAGGCGTCCGCGGTCTGTACCAGGGCCTACTCCCAGCCATGTTGAAGGTCATCCCGGCCTCTATTGTCACCTTTGTTGCGTACGAGGAGTCGATCAAGCTCTTCCGGCGGCTCGATCGGGCGTGACCCCCACGTGCTAAACTGTCCTCTCATACCCGTGCCCGACATCGACGGCCGATGGCGAGGGTCTTGACGACGGCCTCGACCCATCCGAGAGCAGCGAAAGCGCTAGGCGATACAGTCGTTGTGTAGTTAGAAGAACAACATGGACGGCTAGGTAGTCTTGGATTGGTACCTACTCCTCCGCTCGCCCGTCTGCCCGCCCACCCCGCCTGCCACCCGCCGGCCACCCGCCGGCCACCCGCCGGCCACCCGCCTGCCACCCGCCTGCCACCCGCCGGCCACTCCTCACGCCCTTCGCATGTCAGTCCTCCCTCCACCCTACCACCACCACCACCTCCCCCTCCCCCTCCACCTCACTCCACCTCACTCCACCTCACTCCACCTCACTCCACCCACTACCAGGGTTGGTCCCCCCCCCCCCTCCTCCTCCTCCTCTTGTATTCCACCATGGCACTGCTGTGTCCACGGTGCCCATGTGCGGTGTTTGAGGCCAACGTGTTTGTGCCTTCAAAGTGCCGCAATTGTGGCCACTCACACTCACACTCGGATGCCTCATCTCGGTCACCGCCGCTAACCACTGCTGCTCATCCTCCTTCATCACCATTGTCACCATTATCAGCAAGAAATGGTCGACATGATCTTCCTCTCAACAACTCGCAAGCTCTGCCATCGTCAACTGATGCTGACGCCCGTCGTGATGGTGGTGCCCGTCGTGATGGTGGTGATGGTGGTGATGATGGTGCTCGTGCTCATCCTCGTCAAGGTGATGGTGATTGCAGTGGATTGCATCCTGGTACGCTGGTACTCCCGGGCAAACTCGGCCAGGACTCAACCCGCCCACCGCCGACCCCAAACACGCCGCCTCCTTCAAGGACCATCTCAAAGCTCCGGGATCGGACGACTCCGACGTATTACCGATCATCGGCCTCGCTGTACAATGCTCCGGCTGCACCTCTTGCTCGCGACTCGATGTATCAGGGTATGCCTCTCAAGGATCAGGAGCGCGATGCTCGCAACAGAGCTCTCACCAATGCGGTTGTGTCTGCAAGGGCAGAGGCCGCATCCGGCAAGACGGCTGCCGCCCGCCACGAGGGCTGGTCGGAGGCGGCTCTGCATGCCGCCATTGACGAGCGCCTCGCTGCGGCCATGGCCACCACTCAGGCTGTGCTCGAGGACCGCCTCGACGCCATCGTGGCCAAGCGCGTCGCCACCGCGGTCGAGTCCCGCCTCGCGGAGTTGGAGAGCCGCGTCCTCGCCCAGGTCAACGATCGGATCGCCGACGCTGTGGCTGCCAGTACCTCTGCGCTCGAGGCTCGCATCTACGCGCTCGAGTCTACGTTGCCACAGCCTCGGCAAGCCCTCCTCGAGCCGCCGGCGCCAAGCCCGCGGTCACGGCGGACGTCAACAGCGTCGAGCGTGACGAGCGCAACGAGCGCAACGAGCGACTCATCTTTGGAATCTGGAACGCCGCTTGATGACGCCCGCCTCGCCGAGGCATCTGATGCTATCGAGGCCCGGGTCCTGGACGCTGTTTCCGAGCAGCTGAGCAGCTGCGACGTTGTCCGCCTGCAGTTCCGTGTCGAGGCGCTCGAGGCCCGAGTCCTGGACCTGCTGCACGAGCACAAGGCTGCGCTGGCGCCGGTCATGGCCGAGATGTTGCGGAACCAGAAGTTTGTGTCAGACGGAGATTTGTCGGGAATTGTGGTGACACCCGACGACATCGACGACGACGAGCCCGAGGTTGATCCGTCGCTGGTGAGGCGGTCGGATGCGCTCCGCATCCCGAGCATGCAGCGGCTCAACAGCCGCCGGCGGTCGTCGTCGCTCTCATCAATGTATTTGAACAAGCTCAAGCGCCGACTCACCGCCCCAACCGCCAAGCCGTCATCGTCGCCGCGCCCGCCGCCGCCTTCGACGCCGCCACCACCGCGGGTCATCACACCGCAGACCCCGCCACCCGAGCTAGTCATCCACGACGACTCCAGCTCTAGCGACGGTTCCAGGAGCAGTGTAAGCAGCGGGCGCGACCGCGAGCCGGCGTCGGCGTCGGCGCAGTTGCTGGACACCCCGTCATCTGCGCGCACTCGTGCTTCGTCGGTCTCGGACGTCTCGCAGTCGCTGGTTCCGGGCGTCGACGTAGCAGCGTCGGACGGCAAGTGGGTGGCGGTCCGTCCCGTCCCGCGGCTCGATGTCGAGACTGTCGACCTCGGCGTGGCGTGGGACGAGTGTGACCTCGACTGGTACACCAAATACTTTAGCGGCAAGCCGACCGTCGAGTTTGTGGGCGAACACCCCAGCGAGGGTGTGGTCTCCGTCTCGATTGTCTCGTCGTTTGACGAGCACTCGGGCGAGCCCGAGTACAAGGCGGTTGTCCGCAAGAGCTCGGGCTTCTCCACGGCCACGCTTCCCAAAACCGCAGTCAAGATCTCGCGATTCAAGTCCAAACCCAAGGCGTCGAGCTTGCTCAAGGCTTTTGTGCCTGAGCTTGTCCGCGAGGCGCCGATGGTGTCGGTCAAGCCCAAGCTCGTTCAGCCGGAGCTGGTGTACATCGAGGAGCAGCTGCGGACAACAACGTACAAGTTTGGCGTTCTCCTCTGCAAGGAGGGCCAGTCCGACGAGGCCGACATGCTGACCAACGCAGGCGGTTCGGCCGACTTTGAGGAGTTCCTGGCCATGATGGGCGAGACCATTCCACTCGTGGGCCACACTGGGTACACCGGCGGGCTCGATACCCGACGCGGCGGAACCGGGAGCCACTCGATCTACACCCGGTGGAAGCAGTTTGAGATCATGTTCCACGTCTCGACCATGCTCCCGCTCGATGACTCGGACAGTCAGCAGCTGCAGCGCAAGCGCCACATCGGCAACGACGTCGTCCTCATTGTGTTTCTGGACGGCGAGCGCGACGACTTGGTCTACCCGGCCCACGCCATGGCGTCGCACTTTACCCACCTCATCATTGCCGTCCAGAAGCACCAGGAAGCCTCGCGCATTGTCGGCGAGACCACATACCAGATATCGGTCGCCTCGCATGCTCACGTCCCGCCCGAGTTTGAGTCGCGGCTCCCGGATCCTCCGCTCTTCCCACACTCGCCGCTCACGCGCGACTTTATCCTCTCGTACTGCGTCAACGGCGAGCGCGCCGCGCTCCTCTCGCAGGGCTTCAAGCCGGCCATGGACCGGACCCGCAAGGCCTACCTTGAAGCGCTCAAGGCGTACGCCGAAGGCAACGGCCACTCGCTCGTGGTTCACTGATCCACCAATCCGCCCGCAAGATCAAGGATGTCGTCGTAGAGCGTCGCTGCCGACGCGTACGACGGAAAGAAGTTGATGTCCAACGCGTACAGCTGCCCAGAGTTAGTCTCGGTCACAAGGTCGACGCCGTAGAGGTCGAGCCCCAGAGCGGTCGAGAACGCGTCGACCAGCTGCGGCGCAACGGCAGCGACCGCTGCCGCGCCATCCAGGTCGACTGCATCCTGCGGCGCCAGTGGCGGCGGCAGCTCTTTGGCGGTAAATGCAAGAGCGAGGTCGGCGTTGGGTACTGTCGTGTCGTCGGCAAGGCTGCGGAGTGAGGGCTTACAGACCTGATCGACGCGCTTGCCCGAGACATAGAGCTTGTGCACCACACCGGGGTGGTCGATGTGGGACTGGAGGATGACATGTGGCGCGCACGAGTCGCAGAGGGTAGCCACCAGCACCCCGTCGCTGTCAGTGACGGGATGTGGCGCCGGCGCGGCGCAGACGGCGGCGCAGTACGAGGCGACGAAGCGGACGAGGCATGGCGCGAGCAGCTCTGGCGACGGCACAAAAAGGAACGATGCGAAATCTTGGACGCCGATGCCGCACGGGCCTTGACAATGATCGGCCAGCTGAGTCCGGCCGTGTCGATTACATCGTCATCACCCTCAAGCAGCGCGCGGAGTCGTACCGCGTCGAGAACCAGCGGCACGGACGGCGGGACTGCCACGCCGAGCGGAGCCAGTGCAGATTGAAAGAGGTCCAGTGTGAGGAGGCGATCAACTACGGCGACCAGCGGGTGCAGTGGCTGCAAAAGCCAGACGCGAGCTCTGGGGCCGAGATCTTCCACCGCACGCATGGCCTCCAGCACGAGCGCGTCCTGAGCGGTGCACGCGCACCGAGCCTGTCTCGGCGTCTCGAGGCCAAATGTGACACCAGTAAAGACATCGGTCATCTTGTGGACGATGACCACAGGCGTATCATGCGCCAGCTGAGAAAGATCATCCCCCACGTGTTCATCACATGGAGGAAGCTCCGGAATCGATTCCTCGCCGCATCGAGCCACCACCGCCCGAAGCAAGCTCCCGGCGCAGACGCTCGCCACCGACCACGAGCGGGCATGGGCAGCAGCGGTGACGGCGGAGAGGTCAAGAGAGGTGCGCTTCTTGGAAGAGAGAAGGATTGCAAGGGTCCGGTGGGCGCATGCCGGTGGTGGTGGGGCGGACATGGTGGTGGGCGGCGGTGGCGGTGGTGGTGGCGGTGGCGGTGAGTTGAGTGGGGAGAGAGAGAGAGAGAGAGAGAGAGAGAGAAAGAGGAGGGGGGGGAGGGGAGGGAGGGGAGAAACTGGTGATGGTGAGAGAGCTCGATGGCATCGGATGATGAGTTTGCCCATCCCGATCCGCCCACCCACCGGCTGGCCGACCTGTCGACCCACTGCCTGTCACCCCTCCGGCCTCCTTGCCTCCCTCCCCCCCACACACACGCACACACACACAGACACACCACTCCCCCCACCCCCACCACTCACCACTCACCCCCACCACACACACACACACACTACGGGAGAGAAGGGAATCACCGCCATGTCCTCGTCAGAGTCGTCATCAGCAAGCTCAATCTCGCCGTCAGACTCGGGCTCCAGCTCGGGCTCGGGCTCGGGCTCGGGCTCGGGCTCGGGCTCGGGCTCGGGCTCGGTCGTGGGCTTGGGCGGGGAGGATGTGGAGTACGGCGTGCTGGAGTCCGAGGTGGTGGGCGTGATGGCGGAGGAGGCTGTGAAGGTGTATCATCCGACGAATTCGACCTTTCCGTGCGGGCAATCAGGGTGTCGGCCAAAGACTCTGTCATGTGTCTCGGGCAAGCAAGACGGTGTCATCTGGGGCACCGTCCTCCTCATCACCATCCCGACCCTGGCGGTAGCTGTTGGTCCGATCCCGGCCTTGATGGTGCTACTGCCGGCCTTGGGCTACTTTGGAGCCGTCGTCCTAGTCTACGGCTATCTGCTGACAATGGCGGCGCTGATCGCCACCGCATGTACCGACCCGGGCATTCTTCCGCGGTCGCGCAGGCCGGCCGAGGTGGGCACGGGTATGGGTCACGCCCGCCTCAAGATCGTGGGTGCTGCTCGCGAGGGCGAGACTCCGCTGCACCATAACATGACTTGGTGCCGGTCGTGCAGCGCGTACCGACCGCCACGGGCTTCGCATTGCTCGCAGTGCAACAACTGCGTCGCCAAGTTTGACCACCACTGCCCATGGGTCGGCAATTGCGTCGGCGAGCGCAACTACAAGTTCTTTGTCACTTTTGTCACCTTAGTCGTCATCATGGCCGGCCTCGTCATGCTTCCGCTGGCCATCGCCGGTATTCTGGTTGTTGCCAGCGCCAGCGAGGCCGATCTGGACAAGCTCTGGCTGGTGCCGGGTGTCGTCTACGGCACGTCCGCAATCTCAGCCTTTATCATCGTCATGGGCTTCTTCCCGGTCCTCGGCCTCTGCTGCTACCACCGAGCGCTCATTTGCCGCAACGAGACGACGAACGAGAGCATCAAGGCCACGTTCTTCCGCACCAATCCGTACCGCGCCTCGCGGACTGCCAACGTCCTCCGCACGCTCTGTATCCATCGCCCGGCCGCGATCCCGTTCCACGACATTGTCGATCTCGAGGCACAGGACCTTGCCGCTGTGGCTCATCACTCGGACATGACCGTCGTCAATCCCAAGGCTGTCCACTCCTCAGCCTCGCACTCGGACCCCTCGCCACGGACCCGTGCCCCACGCGCCGCCGGCAAGTCCCGACCCCGCCCCCGCTCGCGATCCCGCTCTCGCTCACAATCGCGCCCACGCCGCTCCAAGCGGCAACGCAGGTAGCACCCACCTCGCTGACATGTTTGTGTGTGTGTGTGCAGCCAGGGCTTGGCGACAATGTCTTGTATCGCAGCAGGGAAACAACCAATGTGTAGCCTTTACCCCGCCCTTACTCCCCAACTACCTACCGCAGCGACATGGTTGCCGCCATCCACCACCTTGATCCCCCCCGCCGCCCCACCCCCCCCCCCCCCCCCCCGCCCCCCCCTGGCGCTGGTCTCTCTGGGCGAGGGGGGAGGGGGCGTCGGCCACCTGTCGCCCGACCATGAGTCATGGCGGAGGCAACGAGAGAGTACCGAGCAAAGGTGGTGACCACGGGACATATGTGGAGACTGAGCATGGACATGTTCTTCCCCGTGGAGGAGAGGATGGTGTCGGGCAAGAGGGGGGCGGCACCGGTGGTAAGGGGGTGAGGGAGGGTGGGGGTGAGGGCTCGGGCATGGGGGGCCTGGACACGGACACGGGCACGGGTATGGGGATCCTGGACACGGACATGGGCACGGGTATGGGGATCCTGGACACGGACACGGGTACGGGCATGGGGGTTCTAGACACGGACATGGGCACGGGTATGGGGATCCTGGACACGGACACGGGTACGGGCATGGGGGTTCTAGACACGGACATGGGCACGGGCACGGGGGTCCTGGACACGGACACGGGCGTCGCCACAGCCGGAGAACGCACCATCGCCACAGCTGGGGAACCGACCAGCGATACGATCGATCATCCCACCTGGGCCTGGAACTACGGCTTTGTCATCCCGCCGCCGCCATCAAGCCTCGGCTCTGAGCCGTCGTTCCTCGCCGACATCGCGGCGTACACTCGGGCCTCAACAGCCCGGTCGCGTGCGGCGCAGGCCTCGCCATCAGTCGCCGCACGCGCCAAGGCTGGCTTTCCACGCGAAATGCGTCCGACTGTGTGGCGTGCGTTCATCGGGACAAATCCGTCCCATGACTACGCTGCTCTCACAGAGGCAGTCGCCTCTGGCTCTCTCGGTGAGCTGACCAGCACCACCGCTTCCACACTGGAAGAGCTTGAAGACCAGATCGCCAAGGACTCGACGCGAACCTTTCCGGGCCATCCACTCTTCACGCCGCTCGACCCCAACGCGCCGCCGTCAGCTGCGCAAATCCCGTACCTCACCGCTATGCGCCGCGTTCTCCTCATCTTTGCCGCCACCCATCCGGCCATCGGCTACTGCCAGGGCCTCAACTACATCGCCGCCGCTCTGCTGAGCTTTGCCACCACCGGCACACCAGACGTTTCGCTCGAGGCCGAGACCCTCACATACGACCTCCTCTGTGCCCTCCTTCCTTCGCTGCCCGACTACCACGGCCACAACCTACTCGGCTTTCAGGTCGATGTCTGCGTACTCCGCCGCCTCCTCGCCCTCCGCGCCCGCGGCTTCACGCCAAGCTCGCCGAGCACGATCTGCCGCTCGACATGGTAGTCACGCCATGGCTCATCACGCTCTTCACCTCGGTCCTCCCGCTTGAGACCACCGCTCGCATGCTCGACTGCTTCATCTGCATCACTCCGCTCGTTGTCCTCAAGACCGCGCTTGCTCTGTTCCTTGTCCTCTCGCCCGCGCTTCTCGCCGCTTCTTCGCGCGCCGAGCTCATGGAGCTCCTCCGCCGGGGGCCCGAGTCTTGGTACGATGCCGACGAGCTCATCGCCACCGTTTTCTCGCCCGTCTGCGAGCTTGACCGCTCCAAGCTGGAGCACTTTCGCGACCTTGCCCGCGCTTCCATCGTCGACGACCCCAACTTTGTGTTTGGCTCCGCAGAGCCCAGCGCGGCGCCGCACGCCGGCCCGCGCGGCTCGCGCATCGCCGCCGTACGCCGCGCTGTCGAGGGTCTTGTGGCAGAAGCCGCTCTCGCCTCGGAGATCACCGACGCCTCGCCCTCGCTGCTGGAGTTCTGCCAGGCCTTCGAGGCCGTCATGCGCCACGGCTTCAAAGACCGCAGCGGCGGCCTCTTCTCCCGCACCCCGCGCGAGTTTTGGGAGTACGTCGAAAAGGTCCGCAAGTACCATCCTCACGCGGCGCCCACCATCAAGTCCATCGCCGCCATGTCCGAGCTCCGCTCCCCGCTCGGTCGTGCCCGGGCCTGGATCCGCGCCGCGCTCGTCGAGGCCCGCCTGGAAGAGTATCTTGTCGCCCTTCTCAACCACACCAACCTGACCAAGGAGTGGTATGCTGATCACGCCGTTCTCCGCTCCCATGTCGACGTGCTTGCGCTCCTCGCCCAGCTTGCTCGCCTCTCCTCCATCAACTTTGCACTCTGTGCCCGCGACGTCGACCTCGACTCCTCGTGGCGGCCGCTCTCCGGCGTCAACGCCACGCCGGCTCCTGCTCGTGCCGCCGCCCTCGGCTCCGACGCTGTGGGCCTCCTGCCCGACCCCGAATCTCGCGCTCCACACCGCTGCCCGCTCTGTGGTGACCGCTACGCGCAGCCCAAGATGCTTGACTGCCTTCACTCGTTCTGCGCACTTTGCCTCATCAGCCTCGTCGCTGCCAGCGTCCGTGCCGGCTCTCCTGCGTCGGTCGCCTGCCCCGAGTGCTCGGTCCATACCGCGCTCGCCACTTCCCATCCGCTGCCCAAAGCCGAGCTTGCCGCTGCCCTGCACGCCCTTCTGTTACCCGGGCCGCATCGCGCCGCCCTTGCCGCCGCGTCCGCCGCCCAACAGCACCCGGAAACATCGCCGGCCCGCAAGCACCCGCGCACGCCAGAGCCGACCCAGCCTGAGCCAGCAGAACCGAGCGATGCCGATGGGCTCAGCTTTGATATGCGCGGTGAGCTTGTCGAGTCGCCTGCCCGCCAGAACCTCCGGATCCATCTCCTCATGGGTGATCACGTCGATGACGCCACTTTGCTCGCAGCCTCGGCCGTCCTCCTCCTCCCCACAAACGTTGTGCTTGAGCGCGACGTGGTCGGACTCTGCTCGCAGTGCGACGAGTGGCCCGGCACGTGCTCGTGCAAGGTCTGCGGCGTCCGTCTCTGCAAGCTCCACGCCCGCGTCCACCACAAGATTACCCTCCTCTCTCACCGAGTCTTGCCGTCGCTCCCGCCACCGCCGCTCCCGCCGCTCTGTCCCATCCATCCCGAGTACCCGCTCGCTTTGCAGTGCATGCCGTGTGCTAAAGCGCTCTGCGGCGCGTGTGTCGAGAGCGGCCGCCATGCCGCGCATCACACGTTGCCGCTCACGGTGCACGGAGCCAACGCCCGCAACGAGCTCACTGCTGCCGCAGCTCACATCGCCGCCACCCGCACCGCCATCGTACCGCACATGCCCTTCGCCGCCAGAGAAGCCCGGGCTCTCGCCGACGCCCGGTCGTCGGTCACGGCCGCCTTTGCGACTCTCCGCGCAGCCGTCGACGCCGCAGAAGCCCGCTGCTTAGCCTCGCTCGAGACAGCCGAGCTCGACGGCGTCGCCGCGCGGGCGTCGCGTGGCGTTCCTGCTCTCCGCTACAACATGCTTGCGCGCGCCCTGCCGCTCCTGGACCACGCGCAAGTAACCGTCGATGCTACCATCGCCTCTGCCACGGACACCGAGCTTGGCCTTCTCGAGCCTGTGCTCACTCGGCACTTGGCGACGCTTCCGGCTGGCGGCATAGACCTTGACGCAGCAACGTCGTCACCAGAGGCAGAGGCTGCTCGCTGTAACGCCCGCGACCGGCTCGTCGCCGCCGCCACGGCGCTCGATGTCTCCGACATGGTCGCCCAGCTCGCCGCGCTAAACCTGTAGCTGGTGTTGCGATCTTGTTCATTTGGGACGAGTGGACCGCCAAACCTAGTTGGCGAGGGTGCGCGGGACAAAGACCGGGGCCTGAGCCGAGAGTGGTGAGCCTCTGGCCGGGAGCGCTTCGTCCGCACGCGTGGGCGTGGTCGGCGTCAAAGGGTACGAGGCTTGCGCTGGCTTGGCATGCGGTGGGAGAGCCTGCGCGTTCTCGTTAGCTGAGAGCCGGGCCGACGATGACGTAGACGCCGCCGTCATTGGCGCCGGAGCGGGATGGGTGTAGTACATCGCCGGCGTCGCCGGGTGCGCGGCGTACATCGCCTGCGGCGGCGGGACCGGCGCGTAGTACGGCTCGTACGGCACATACGTAGGATAGCCTTGTCCTGGCCCGGCGCCGGCCACCGGATACGGGTAGCCAGTCCAGCCTTGGCCATGGTGCCACGCCACAGCGGTAAACTGTGGGAGGTCACCATCGGGAGCGTGGTATCCGTTTGCGCCCAGTAGTGCCTGGCCCTGTGGCGCGTTGCCATCGCTGATGGCAACCGAGAGAGCAGCCGGCGAGCCGGTGTCGTCACACGCGTCAGAGTCGCCGTGAAGCTGCTGCTCACGCAGCCGCTGCTGCTGACGCTCGTAGGCAAGCTTGCGCTGGTAGGCACGCGAGTGGATGCGCGAGCGTGACTTGACCTTTTCCGAGAACCGCTCATCGGCGAGCAGCCGCAGGTGCGAGGTCGAGTCCTTGGGCTGGATGCGGTCGGTTGGATGAATAAAGTGGCAGCGCTTGCCGTATGGGCACCAGCCCGACGCGTGGTACAGGGCGCAGAGCTTGGTCTTGTACTCTTTGGGCACTCGCGGCGGCGGCTCGCGGAGCTCGCTCTCGCCGTGCGCAAACGAGCACTCTTCGCCATACGGACACGACTCGGGGTTGTTCATCCACTTGATACAGAGCGCCGTCTTGAACAGCTCTTGCGGCGAGATCTTGAGGCCCTTGAGTGACGATGGCGAGACATAGTTGCCCTTGCCGCCCTTCCCGCTCCGCTTCCGTCCACCCCGCCGCCGCCCACGCCCACCCGATCCGGGCGACTTTGATCCGCCTCCCGTCGACGACGGCGACGAACCCGTCGTCTCATCAGACTGGGGCGATTTGGCCTCTCCCGCCTTGGCCTCGCCTGCCTTGGCCTCGCCCGCCTTGGCCTCGCCCGCCTTGGCCTCGCCCGCCTTGGCCTCGCCCGCCTTGGCGACGCCTCCGCCAGCTTGGCCGAGGCCGGCCTTGGCAGCGGCGGCACCTCCGGCTACGTTCTGTGTCACCACGGTATCGTCCTGGGTAGCCATACTTGTACTTGTTCCTTGAGTCTTGGTCTGGCTTGTCTGTACAAGGCATCCAGAGCAGAGGTTGGCGCAGTGTAAGTGGCGGAGAGCGGGGGGGAAAGGGGGAGTGCCCGACGGGCAAGCGCCAAAAAATGTCACCCGCCGACCCGACCTTCTCGACGCGATGCTCGTTCGTGGTGTATACGATAGCTATGAAGGTTCTGAAGAGTGTACAATGTAGAGCAATAATGGTGGAGGATGTGACTGTAATGTGGAGTTCAGGAGATGGTGTATTCCGTGTAGGGGACGGTGTAGAGGTGCTCGGTTCCGGGTGCAGAATTGGCGGCAGAAACGGTTCGCGCGCCGTTTACGACCTTTTCCGACCACTCGGCGAGGGAGTATGGCCATGCAAGGGGAGGCGAGGGAGGGAAGAAGAAGAGGGTGATGACAAAGCATACGTACCAAAAGGATATGCTTGACGCCTTGGTTCGCCACCCCGGGTGAGGAGTCTCGCAACAGGTTGCTTCTTCCCCTTTGCTTGCGCCAAGTCTTGCCTCCTCCCCCCCCTCCTCCCCCAACTCCTTCCCATTCCCCTTCCTCTCTCTCTCTCTCTCGGGTGAGCAAAGGGCAGACGCTGTCACTTATGTTTGCTCGTTCAACCAATGTTGCATTCAATCAAATTGTTATTGGTTTTGACTCTTTTTTTTGCATGCATGCACTGGCCATGTCTCAACACCTCACAAGACCCAATTGGCGCACCTATCGGGCGAGTAGGGCGCCACCGTCACCCGCGACTGGTTGATGACAGAGTCAAACTCGACTAAGTTGGCGGTCCAGCCCTTGGGCACGGCCGAGATGTCTTTGGAAAAGCCAGTGAGGAGGGAGACGTGGCCTTGCTTTGCCACTAGCCATACTCGGGGCTCGACTCTTGAGGCCGACCGCATGCTGTGTGTGAGGGCATCAACCGGTGGCTTTGAGGCAATTGATACAGACGGCTGAACCGGTGACCTCGTTGATCTGGGTACATGCCGGGCATGTCCAGAACGAGGATGTGTTGCGCGAGTGAGTAAGCGAGCGGGCTCGCTTGGAACCACTCGCCGTGGTGTAGCTCGGCTGTGGCGCGCTCGTTGACAGTGAGCGCTTGCGCCGAGGTAGGGCTGTCGACGGTGCCGACGGTGGCGGCGACGAGGCAAGGAGAGATGGTGGCGGCGGGGGTGGATCTGTCGACGAGTGCCCGGAACGAGTGCTCCCACATGCATCGCAGCAGAGAAACTGCGGCTCGTTGACTAGAGTGCAGCACTTGCACTGCCACGGCGAGGAGCCGTCGTCGTCGTCGTCGTCGTCGTCCGAAGAATGACAATGACGTCTGGCGTCTCGACATCTGCCTCTGCGGCAGCAGCGGTGTCAACAGTGGCGGCGTCAACAGCGACCTCAGCAGCAGCGGTAGCCTCGTCAAGATCGCCGCGCGACGCGCACCAGACCTGATCACGTAGCCGCTGCTCGGCGGCGCGGGCGCGCAGCTCGCGCGGAGTGAGCTTCTTACCGACACGAGCCGTCGACGCCGAACCGAGAACGCCCGAGCCCATGATGCGGCCAAGCTTGGCTCTGCGAACAGCAGCCGCGGACGCGGCGGCAACCGGCGGCCCGCGCGGCGCGTCCCAGTTGAGAAAGGTACCGCCGAGCGTGCGCCCGCTGCCGGCAAACGGCCTCGAGTAGCCGTTCCGCTTGAGTGATGCCAGCTCGCCCCTGAGCTTGTCGAGGAGAGCATAAAAGGCAGTGTTGTGCGGCCCGACATCGTTGTGTGCGAGCTCATGGAGCATGGTCTCCATCACATCGTCGTAGGGGAACAGCGGGCCGAGGAGGGTATTGCGGAGGCGGATGAGGATCTTCTGGCCGGCGTTGACGTTGAGGCCGAGCAATCGCCGGTTCGATGACGTCAGCTCGCCCACCATGCCGACTCGCCAACCATGATCATCTACAATTCGTCGCACATCGTCCACCACACGCGTCAGAAGCTCCAACGCCGCCTTGTCCTGCATGTCCTTCACAGTCACCTTGCCAATGCCCGAGCCCGAGCCAAAGCCAGAGCCAAAGCCTGCCGACGACGCATGCGACATCTCCCCTCCACCCACACTCAACAAACTCAGCTACCACGTAAAGGACCTTCGCTCGGTGGTTTTTTTCTGAGTTGGGGCGAGTTGGGTGAGTTCTCCGTCCTGCGGGGGCGGTGAGTGTGTGCCAGCGGGAGAGGAGGAGGGAGGGGGAGGGAGGGAGACAAGCCGAGTCGCATTGCCAACAACTTCCAATTGATAGTAAAAAGAAGGATTGCTCCACCGGCGTGAGGAAATTGGAAGCTTTGAGCGGAGAATGGAGCGGTGGCGGCCTGCGGCGAGATGATGACGACACAACAGGCGCTCGAGCGAGGTCATGACAGAGCAAGGGCAAGGGGACGGGAAGGCTTGCAGACTCGGCCACTCGTCGACCAGGTCAGGTGGAAGAGTATGGCTGGAGGAAAGGCTGTGGCAGGAGAGCATGGCAAGGGGATGAGCGAGTCGGAGAAGTTTGCCAAGACGGTGAGCACGGGCAAGACTGTGCGGAGGCTAATCTTTGTGGTTCTCATCGTTGTCTGTCTTGGCGTCTTTGTGGGTCCAATTGCCCGCATGGCATGGGGTGCTGGCACGGGATCGATGGAGGAGAAGGAGGCCGTGTGGCGTGCGTATTGGATCATCGCCGTCTTTGGCGGCCTCCTCCCATTCATCCCGTTGTTCTGGAAGGTGAAGAAGGCCAAGTCGTGGCTCTCGGCCCGTCCGCTCTTTGCCAACATTGTGGTTATTGGGGCTGGCCTCATCGCTGCCACACATGCCGGCATGGTGGCGGCGGTACTTGAAGCTGGTGTCGGCTACGGATGGACCATGCACTCGGAGTCGGGCTCGCTGACCACCGCCGCAAAGGCGCTTGTGGCGTTTGATCTGTATCTCCTCTGGTGTATCACCGTCCAGCAGCTCGGCGCGCTGTTTGTCGGCCTCAAGTCGCCGATCTACTTGTGGGTCGTCTCGTATCCGGCGACGCTTGGGTACTCGACCGCACTGTTTGGCTGCATGCCGCTGGCGATTGTCCACGCGGTGGCGTCGGGCCCAGAGCCCGCGGCGGTGGTCGCGGTCGCCGCCTTTGGCCTGGCAGCCTTTGGGCTGGCACAGTCACTCCTCGACTCGCCTTGGGAAGAGGTTACAGTGACTGTTGAGTCGCCTGCGGGCTTTGACGCCGACGCTGGCGGCTCGCGCGAGCCGCGCGATGGAGTCTATGCCGCGCGCGGGCGCCACTCGGGTAAGACCCGGCTCGGCCCGCTCGAGCTGAGCCGTGGTCGCGGGGGAGACGAGCCCGGCCGCCCACTGAGGATTGTGCAGATTACCGACCCACACATTGGCCCCTTTATCTCGATCCGGCGGATGAACGCATTCTGCGAGCAGACCGTTGCACTCGATCCCGACCTTGTGCTCATGACCGGCGACTACTGCACGACCGAGGCGCATCTGACTCCCGGGTGCTTGGCGGCGGCGTTTGCGCCGCTGGCTGCGCTCAAGGGCAGGGTATATGCCACGCTCGGCAATCACGATCACGAGGTGCTGCGGTTTGTCAAGGACGAGCTTGCTGCGCTCGGCGTCATCCTCATTGTCGACGCCGAGGCACTCGTGGAGACCCAGGCTGGGCTTGTCCAGCTCGTCGGTGTCGACTTTTTCTTCCACGACAAGCCGCGGCTGTACTCCAAGGTCATTCGGCGATTCCCACCGAACGCTCGCGCCGCCTACCGCATCCTGCTCATCCACGATCCGGGTGCATTTCGGTACGTGCCGGCCGACGACCACGCGTTGGTCCTCTCGGGCCACACTCACGGCGGCCAGATCGGCCTTGTCTCGTGTGGCCTCGAAAAGTGCACCGCAGTCTCGGTCGGCTCGATCGGCCGCATCCCGGACCACGGCGTGTGGCAGCTTGGGACCAACAGGTTGTATGTCAACCGCGGACAGGGAACCCGGTTCATGGGTGGTAACTTCCTTGTCCGGTTCGGTGTGCCGGCTGAGGCCTCGGTTCTTGTGGTCACCACCGACTCGACGGGCGTCGACGCGCCCGAAGTCTCGGACTCGGTCTTTACCCGCCACGAGCGCGAAGAGGGCATGGTTGGTCAGTGAACGAAACAGACGTCGCTACTCGCGCGCACACAGCTCTGCTGCCCGCGCATCAAGCTCGTCGCATTGGCTCGAGCTGAGCAGCGCATACCGCGTCGGTGAGCTGGCTAAGACGTCCGGTGCAAGCGCCACCAGCTCGTCCGGAAGCTCGATGGCTAGGACGGCACAGAGCGGAACGGTGATGACTTCCAGGGCGCGGCAGACCGAGGCCGGCACGCCGCCGACAACTCGCAGCGCAGCTAGCGCTGGATCGCGTAGACGCGCCGATGGCGGGCGATACTCAAACGTGTGGGTGTGATCGACTACCAGAGCCGAGTCCGGGTTGTTGGCCACCGCCAGCACATGTTCGCCGTGGAGGAGCTTGCCGTCGCGTTGGCCGACAAGAAAGTGCAGCGCGAGTACAGTTGCATAAAACTCGGTCCAGGCCATCGCATTCGGATCGGATTGCACATCTGGGGCGCGCGTTGCAAACTGCCTGTGTGCTCGCGCCTCATCCGCTGAGAGAAAGAGATGACCAAGCTCAACTGGCTCGACATCGGTCCGCCACCGGGATGCTGCCGCCAAAGCCCAACGGTCTGCGAGCAGCGCCGAGGACGGCAGCTGCGGGCTGAGGCCGGTCTCCTCAAGCGCATCGACTTGGACAGCCACAAGATAGGAGGCAGGGACAAGGTGTCCAAAGCCAAGAGCATTTGCCAGCGATGCGACAAGGAGCTCATTGAGCGCACCGCCCGTCGCCGGCGCCGCCGTCTCGGGCACAAACCGGAGTCGGGCCGCAGAGCGAGCAGTTGACGGGGTCGGTGGTGGGAAGAGGACCCCCAGCGGGCGCCACTCAGGCTTCAGTAGCCATGTTGCGCCGCCGTTCTTGCCGTCATCGTCGCCTGTCACTGCGTACTTGTTCTCCAGGCCAGGGACTTTGCCCAGAGCTGGATTCGGATCGTCCCAGCTCGCGGCGGTGAGGCCGGCGACGGGGGCGGCGAGGACGGGCCTTAGCCTCACAAAGTGTGTCTTGGGGCGGTCAACGTGGGCTTCGCCGACGCCATCAGAGGTATAGCGCAGCGTGTCAGTTGCAAGTTGGTGTGCGCGGTTTGCAGTCAAGATGGTGGTGAGAGCGGCAGAGGCGGCGATGATGAGGACAACGAGCAGACGCGGCCGCATTCAGCGGCAGCAAGCGGGAGAGTAAGGTGTGGGCAGACTCGGCCATCGCCATCGACAGGCAGCGTGCCGACAAGCATCGCTCGGGATATGTTCAATAGCAGTACTTGAGGCTAGTCGTCATCGAGAACCGCTAGCTTGCGGTGTGGACAGAACCAGCGGTGTTGGTAAGCTGGATCAAGCGGGGACGGGTTGGCCAAACGCGTGCTGATGGTGCCAGCAGCGCCGGTCTTGGCCCGTTTGGCAGGTGGGGCTGGGGATGGGGGTGATTCGTGGTGTGACGTGGTGGTAGCCGCAGCTGCGGGCGGTGTGGCGGGCGGAAAACACCACAGCGGGACCGCCCGCATACAGAGGCCGCATTCGACGGTGGTGGCCGGGCGGGATGAGGTCGACCAGCCCCAGAGCGCAAGGATGGCGGCGGAGCGCGAGATGGGAGCAAAGCCAGGTTGTGGCGCGATAAGCGCGGTAACGAGCGCTCTAGCCGCGGGCGGAGCGGCGCCCGGCAAGTCGGTGAGCGGGAGGGCCGAGCCGGCATCGGTGACAAGAGCACGGGCGAGGTCGAGGAGCGGGCGGATGGCGGCCGATGAGGCCGGGTTCCGCAGCGCGGCAGTGGTGGTGCGTGGCAGCGCAGCCCACGCTTCCGGGCATGGATTGCGCGGCCAGCGGCAGTCGGCGGAGTGGGCCTCGCTGGAGACACGGGCAATCTGGGCGGCGAGGACGTCCGGAGCGTCCGGGCGGACACCGGGCTCGAGGCTCACGACAATGCGGCCCGAGCACGACACACAGATCGCCTCTAGCGGAGCACTCGCTTCCATGCCGTATGCAGCAGCGAGGAGCGGTGAGAGGCGAGTTGCCGACGAGATCCAGAGCGCCGGCGTGAACGAGGCCACCCGGCGGCGGAAGGCCTGGCGATCCCAAGGCATGTTGCTCCGTGTGGAGCTGCCGTTGTCGTCGTCCTCGCCTGTCGGCATCTCTTCCGCCAGCTTTGCCAGCGCCGCCCTCAACCGGGCCACAACCTCTGGTGTCGTCGGCGGAGGGCCCGCACCCTGCTCGCCATCCAGGCCAGCACCGGTGCCAGCTGGGTCTGTAGCATCCGCCGCTTCCGACTCTGTCCTCTCGGCCAAAGTCGATGAAGAAGCATCGATGGTTGCCATTTCCGGAGCGTTAGTCTTGTCAACTGCCGTCATCATGTCGGCTGCCGTTGTCATGTCTGCTGCTGTGATCTTGTCCGCCTCTGCATTCTTGTGGTGCTCCACGGCAGCGACCTCGTGCCCAGAGGAGCCAGCGCCGCCACCGCCATCATTCCCGCTTGCAACAAGCATGGTCATGTCCAAGTTCTTGTTCTTCACAAACTCATCTTTGACTCTCACACTGCCTCCTGCTGATGACGTCGACGTCGTCTTTGTCGCTTCCGCCCCCTCGGTCGTCCTCCGCGTCGTCGTCGTCGTCGTCGACGACGTCGTCTTGCTCGAGCTGTGCATGGTCATGGGCCAGGGCCAGGCCAACGTCACTTGCTGTCTCCAAACACTCACAACAAATGTAGTGTTTGTGGTTGTGGTCGTGAAGTGGTTGTTGTCGTGAACGTCACGTGGTCAGAATGGTGGCCTTCGTCCTCGTCGTGCTAAAAGAGGTGCCGCGTGGGCTCGCTCCCGCCGTCGGCTTGGTTGCCTTTGACCGGATGCGTTTGGGATGCGAAATAATTTTTGGCGGGTTTTTTTCGGGAGGGAGTTGGGGAGAGAGAGGACCCACGGTAAATTAGCTCTATTTTTGGAGCTAGTGGCGAGAGAGAGGTTGAGTGGGGAGCTGGAGGGCGGGCAGGGAGGTGGATGGGGGAGCATGTCTTTGGGTGGCTCTTCAGGAGGGGGGGGGGGGTATGGATAGGCACAGTGGTGTTTGAAACAAGAAGTGGAGTGCGGATTGACCAGATGTCGCGGCAAGCGCAGGGTCAAGACAGGCGACGGGATGAGGCAAAGTAAACTACGATGCGTCGGCCACGAGCGCAAACAGCTGCACATCGGCGACACGGGAAGCAGCCGCAATCTTGTCGGAGAGTGCGTTGGCCCGGGCCTTGATCAAGTTGGCCTTCGAAGCCGACACCGCCGTCCTTGTGACGTTGGCAGCCCGAGGAGCGTTTTCCTTGTCGCCAGCCGCATCGCCGCATCGACCAGCAGCAGGACCATCGGCGGCAACGTCGCCAGCCTCAGCATCAGCGCCGAAGCTGTTGACAGGTGCGAGCTGAGGGGAGGCGGCGAGTCGGACCCGATGAAGGCGGGCGCCGGCCGGCAGCGCATCGCCATCAGCATCCGAGGCATGCGATGACGATGAAGCAGCACGATGGCTGGCCACAGCACCACGCTCTGACGACGCCATCACGGCCAGACTCTCTGCATACATCCTCCGCGAGGCAGCGACAGCGCCCAGACCAGCAGCAGCAGCCTCGCACTCCTCGGCTCTCTCAGCCAGACGTGCACGTGCGCGGGCGATGGCTCGCAGGACCTGGGACGAGGCATCAGAGTCGACACTTCCACACGACAGAGTCTTGTGCATGGCAAGGGTATGTGGTGAGGAGGGGGGAGGGGGGGGAGGGTCAGGTGGTGGTGGATGTTGATGTGTTTGTGGAGGGAGGGAGGGGGGGGGGGGGGGGCAGTTTGGCGCCAAAGCAAATGCATTGTCATGGTCAATTAATGCATGGTCATGGTCAGTTGATGCATGGTCATGGTCAGTTGATGCATTGTTATGGTCAGTTAATGCATGGTCATGGTCAGTTAATGCATGGTCATGGTCAGTTGATGCATGGTCATGGTCAGTTAATGCATGGTCATGGTCAGTTAATGCATGGTCATGGTCAGTTAATGCATGGTCATGGTCAGTTAATGCATGGACACGTTCAACTTGTGCATAATCACTCGAATTATGCATGGTCACGATTGGTTAATGCATGGGCGCGCTCAGTGGCAAAAGGCAACGGACGGACGACTGGCGTGACTGGGCAAATAGCGGGAAAGGCAGAACACCCGTCCCGTTGCAGGCCAGAGGTGGCAAGGGGCGTAGAGTATGACAAGTCGAGGCGGAGTGTTTGATTCTTCTTCATCAGATGACGACGTCGAACTCGCTGCGCTGCTTCATACCGCCCGGCGAGGCGCTGGTCGACCGGCGGTCCAGCTGACGCCGGCCAAGGCGGCAACCACAAGAACGTCGGCTGGTGGCCAAGGACAAGGACATGGGCATGGTGTTGGTACAGGAGGGACAGTAGACACGTCCGTCATGTCGGTGGCTCTCTCATATACCACCCCCGGGAGGCAGCAGGGCCCGTCCACTCGCAAGCCGTCCTCGCCCGACTGCGATGACTCTCTCCAAGCTGCTGATGCGACTCGTACAAGCGGTGATGCGGGCTCTGGCCCTGGTGGTGATGGTGCTGCTGCTGGGCGTGTTCCGATGGGTTCGCTGGCTATGTCGTCGCCATCAGCAGCAGCAGCAGCAGCAGCAGCAGCAGCAGCGACTGCACCAGCGCCGGCGGGCTATGGTCCAAACTCGGCCATCACAGACATGGCGATGCTTCTGGCAGAGCTGGTGGAGACTGTGGAAGCGCGGACGAGGGACATTTCCGCCGAGGAGAGGCTGCTGGCCAGAGAAAGGTCCGATGCCGAGCGTGAGGGTGAGCTGCTTGATGACGAGCGGTCGCGACTGGAGCGCGAGTGGAAGCGGATCGAAGAGGAGGAGCGCGCAGTGGCTGAGCGCGATGCGTCAGTCGCAGGCATGGTGGCCGAGCGAGGAGCGCTAGCGGCATCAGAAAAGGCCGCCACCGAGCCGGACTCGGAGGAGCTGGCAGTCATTCGCGAGCAGATTGCGGAACTCGACAGTGAGATTGCCCGCCAGCAGACCAATCTTGCCACTCTTGTTGCTCGTCTCGACGAGGTCCGCGCTGCGTATAAGCGCGACCTCGGCAAGCTCGAGCGCGACGAAACGGTGGCCGCCGAAGTTGAAGCCGGCTTTGCAGAGTCTGAGGCCAAGATTGCTTTTCTCCGCTCGCTCAACGACCGCGACCGTGCCGAGATCATGCGTCTGGAGGCGCTGTTGCCCAACTGGCGCGAGGTGCTTGCCGAGTTGCAAGTGAGCAACGCAACGAGCCAGTCGCCGTGGCACAGTCCGGTGCCGCGAGCCTCGCCGGCACGGGCCCCAACGGTGCAAGTTGCACCGGCTGAGGTTGTGCATGCCACGACTACGCCTGCGCCCGTGCCTGCGCCCGCGCTGACTTCTGATCCGAGCGCCGCCATCCTCTCTGCGCAAGAGGTGATGGCCCGGATCAAGAACCGGCTGGCGGGTCGAGGCGGGGCGCAAGTCGATGCCCATGACGAGAGTGGCCTCGCCGAACTGTCCGCGTTTGGCGGTGATCGCAACGGGTCGATGGCAACGATTTCGACGGTGTCGCGTGCGCCGTCGGCGGGCGTGGACGAGTCGCGGGGCGATTGGCCGTCGTATGCGGCGTCGTTCATGCGCGGTCCGCGGTCGCCGGAACAGGGCTCGTCGCAGGCAAAGCCAGGCTCGCCGCTCCGCTCGCGGCTGATGGCCGAGCTGGACGAGCTGGAGGCATCGATCACCCACGAGGCATCGCTTCTGGCGGGTGTGTCACGGACAAGCCGGATGAAGCCTCTGCTCCTGAACCGGCCGCGGCGATCGCGGCGGGAGAGTGGGACTGGCTCGCCGCCGCGCTCGCCGTCGGCCATGCGCCGCCGTGGCAGTGCCTCGGGCTCGCCACCGCGCTCGCCGTCGGCCATGCGCCGCCGTGGCAGTGCCTCGGGCTCGCCACCACGCTCGCCGTCGGGCCGAATTGTCGATCGGAGCCGGCTTGTCCGGCGCGAGGTCTTCACGCCGCCGCGGCGTGCCAACCAGAGCGGCATTGGCGCGCTGGCGTCGCTCAACGTGTCAGAGCGGAGCAAGGTGGTGACAACCGCAGCCGGTGATGAGATTCAAACGCTGGTTTCGCCGGGCGCCAAGCGCAAGGGCGCTGGAACTCAGTCACAGCTGTCCTACATGCCGTCGCCGGGGCGCGGAGCACCGACGGCGTTGGCGTATGATGCCCTGCTCGAACCTGCCACGCTCAACGAGCCGATGTGGCACTCGCCGGTGGCGCGGCCCAACGGGCCGGCGCCGGGCGTGTTGTACTCGAGAACGAAAAAGCAACTGGCGATGCTTGACGAGCTCGATGTTGACGCAGTGTACAAGCGGCAGCTGGCGCACGAGCGCGAGCTGCGGGCGGCCCACCGGGCTCAGCTTGCCACCGTGGCGCAGCAGCGAGTTGATGCAGATGTGGCGTATATTCGCGCGGCAGTGGCGACTGGCGGCGAGGTGCCTGCGATCATTGACCGACGGCGAGCGGCACACGCGCGGTCGTTCTCGACTACGCGGGTGGATGCGTCGTCGCTCGATCTCGCCTTGTCGCCGGTGGCGAGCGCGAAGCACTCGCGTGCGCTTGGTGTCGGTCGCCCGTGGGACGAGAGTGAGCTTCCTGCGTCGCTGGCGGTGGCCGAGTGGGAGCGCGACCAGAAAGCGCTCATCGATGCGGCAACCGCCACTCTAGTGCGGCAGCTGGAGGCCGAGACTGAGACCACAGTCTCGCTTGCCAAGCATGAGGCGATTGGCGCCGAGGCGCGTGCGATGGAGGCCCGGGCCGAAGAGCTCCAGACGTTGGCGGAGCTTTCGCTTGAGAGTCAGCTGGCGTATGTGGAGGTAGAGGTGGAGCGGGCGGATGCGCTGCTTCTCGACGTGGCCGGCGACGCGGTGCTACTGCAAGAGCCGTCGACGGCAGCGCGTGTGGCACGAGCGGCGCGGCGGCGGCTGCGGGGTCATGCTGGGCTGAGCGTGGCGTCGGCCGAAGATGCGGCCGAGGACGACGATGACGACGATGTGACCGACATCACTGCGCTAGTTGCGGCTGCGCGGCATCGACTCGAGTCGCGGCGGGCGTGGCTGTGGCGGCGGCGGCTGGTGGTATTGCTCCAGCTGGGAGCGGCGGCGGCAGAGCGCGAGTACGCGGCCGGTGGGATGGTGGCGCCTGGCTCGCGGTCTGCGGCGTCGTACCGTGAGCAGGTTGCGGCCGAGCTGGCTGAGGCGCAGGTGAGTCTTGACGCCGATTTTGCCGAGCTTGCCAGTGACGGGGAAGCAGGGCGGCTGCCGCTGTCGCCGATGCCGCTTGTGGCGACGGCGACGGGGCGCGTCGTGCCGACGCACAAGGACGAGGCTTCGCTCGATGCCGGAGTGGCGCCGCCTGTGCCGGCGTGGCGCACGAGCGACGTCGACGATCACGGTGATGGTGATGGCGACGGTGATCGGGTGCGCAAGCGGGTCCGCAAGCGGATCCGCAAAAGGCCGCGGCCTGTCCTTGGCCTCATGCACGACCCCAAGTCGACGGGTGCCGAGTCGATGGTGGTGCGGTCTGTGCGCCTGGGGGCTGGCTTTCTGTTCTCGAGCGCGACGACGCGAGCGGCGAGTACGTGCAGACGCTGACCAAGCGCAAGCCGAACGATCCAGACGGGGTTGTCTGCCTCCGGCTGGGAAAGTCGCGGACGTTGCGGCTGGTGCTGGGCCTGCGCAACCCGTCCGAGGCCGGCCCGCTGCTGAGGAGCCTCGACAAGCTCAGTGTGTCTGTCCCGGGTTCCGGCGATGTCGAGCTGGAGGTGCTGCAGAAGACGGTGCGGGCCGACGGGACCGAGCTTGTGGCCACCATTAAGTGGCCGGAGCCGCTGGATGCCGGGCTCGGGTGGCACAAGCCATGCGAGGCCGGCGAACGGCGGCCGATTGATGTCGACGCGCTGGTCTCACTCAACGACGCGGCACGGAGCCAGGTCCGGGTCTCGATGTCGCTGGTGTGCAAGTTGTACGGCGCGGCATCCAAGGTGCAAAAGAGCAAGTCACGGCTCGCCGAGGGACCGATGATTGCCTTTGAGCGAGTCATCCGTGTTGCCCCGCGGGTCGGTGTGTACATTGTGGACATGGGCTTTGACGTGGATGGGGCACTGGTGGTGGCGCGACTCGCAACTCGCGAGAAGCGGCACAAGTAAAGAAGACGCGGAGCTGGTGGGGACGGTGTTTAGCGGGACTCGCGCATCGCCTCCATTCGCGACAGCAAGAGCGAGGCGTTTGGGTCCTTGGCGACTGGGTACATGTGAAAGAACGGGCCGTTGGATGCGAGGCGGGTGACGACGAGGCCCTTGACGGCGTGGCGGGCGGGATCAAAGCCGGAGCTCGGGTCCGCAGCGAGAGCGGCGTAGAGTGAGCAGTGGTCAAAGTTGATCATCTCATCGAGCTCGTGGTAGAACAAGAGGCGTGGGCCGGAGACGGCTTTCCAGGCGGTGGCAGCATCGAGTTTCCAGCCAAAGGCAACAATGAGCCGCGAGCCAAGCGGCGCGAGGGCGCCAAAGTGGGCGAGGGCGAGAAAGAGCGGGGCAGCAGCAAGGAGAAACTGGAAAAAGTGCAGGGCGAGGCGGATGGCGATGAACCATGACGAGAGTGGCGAGCCAAAGAAAAGAGCGCGCCGATAGCGAGGACCGGGACCGAGAGCGTGGCAAAGGCGACGGTGCGATGAGAGGTATGTGCGGCGAGCGAGGCCCACCAGTGCGGCAGCTTGTCGCGTGGAATGCTGGCAGCGTTGTTGGCTACGAGGTCCGAGATGGCGTACGCCATGCCCAGCCAACAGGCGACGGTCCATGCAGCGACCCACGGGCCGAGCGAGTCAGTGGTGGAAGAGAAGAGCATGCCAAGAACGGCAGCGAGGACGGCGACAAATAAGCCGACAATGAGCGCCATCGGCCCGGAGCGGAGATGGTGCGGGACAACAGCAGCGAGCGAGGCAAACGAGCGGTCCGAGACAAAGGTTCCCGCCGGGCCACAGGCTGCGCGGGCGAGCGCAACCGCGCCGCCGCCCATCGAGTGGCCATAGAGCATGACGTCCTCGGGAGCGACGCCAAACTCGGAGCCAAGAAAGGCGATGGCGCCGAGGACATCATCGACGAGGTCATCGCCGCGGAGCGGAACGCCAGTCGACCGCCCGACGCCGCGATAGTTGAACAGCAGCAGCGAGGTTGCGGCGCCATGGAGAGACGAGGCCTCTAGCATGATCTCCTCGTAGCACACGCCATTGGCGTTGGCCATCACCATCCATGGGCCACTGCCGTTGGGCGATCTCAGATACAGCACTCCGTCCAGGACCGGGGACGCCTCGGTCGAGACGGCGGAGGACGAGCTCGGGCCGGCCGAGGGGAAGGAGACGCAGCGCCAGTTTGTGGGAGCAGAATCGATGGCCTCTTGGCGAAGCTCATCGTAGACCTCGGGCCGCATACGCGAGACGATTGTCGAGGGAAGCAACAGGGAGACGACAACGAGGTTGCGGACGAGGATGATGGCGGCAGTGGCGCCGAGGGAGGAGGTGATGGCCCAGATGATGAGGAGGGGTAGCGAGGTCGGCGAGGGGGAGGGGGGAGACGAGGGAGCGAGGACGGCACAGGAAAGCCACCATACGCCCGACGAGAGTGCGAGGGCAGTCGCCGCCGCTGGTGTGGTGAAGCCACGGGTGGGGCCATGGGCTAGGGATTGGCGTGGAGTGGCGTGGAGCGGGGGGAGGGGGGGGGGGGGGGGGGGGGGGGCAGCGTTGTCTGCGGCGAGACTCGCCCGCCACGGGTGAGCAACATGGCCACGCCCAATCCACATCGATCCTCTCCTACGCAGACCCCAACCACCCATGATCCATGTATGCCCCACATCGATCCTCTCCTACGCAGACCCCAACCACCTATGATCCATGTATGCCCCACCGGTCGCACCATCAGCCATCGCTCAACATCCGCTCAAGCGCCTAGATGTGGTCTCCATCTCTCTGGCATTCTCATCAACAGGCGATCGCCCGTTGTTGCGGTTGTGCGCCAGACTGGCTTTCGCTTGGGCAACGCTAGGTGGCGCGCGTGTCATGCCGACGACACCGACGTCGCGGGCTGGCACACCATCCAATCTTAATCTGTACATGATGCTGTTCACGCTGTCATCGTTACCAGGCCGGACGCTGAGATCCGTTCCGATAAGGAGCCGCCAGGTAAGCTGCCGTGGATCTCGTCGTCGTACCATGGCGAGCAGCTCGATTGCGACCCAGACGCATAGCTCCGTCCGCCCCATCTACTCCCCCAACAACCACAGTTAGCCACGCCTGCCATCAACACTCATCCTCGCCATCCCTGTCCCAATCGCGCGCCCATCTCGCCCCCAATCTGCCCGAAAGAAATTGTTCGCCAGAAACCGCACCCCCCTCTCGCCGCCGGAGCCGTCAACCCGGCCGCCGACCACCCAACTCGTGACCATGTCCCGGGTCGGCTCGTGCGCATACCTCCTCCAGCAGGGCTCCCAGGTGTACGCAGTCACGTCGTCTGACCCTCAACTGCGGAGCACACGGAGGTCTGGCCGAGCCATTCTTGCTCGTCGTCGCCAGGCAGCTGCTGCAGCTGCCGCCGCTGGCGTCACGGACCCGACTACCACCCGCGTGCCAAGACCGACACGGTCGGGTGAACGACTGGCGGCTTCGGCCATGGCTCGGCGACCGAGATCAGTGCCTCTTGATCAGCGTATGGCTTCAAAGACTGATTACTCGGCAAACTACATCGGATTTCCTGTTCAGACCGTGGCTTCCTTGAACAAGGTCCCCGTCCCCTTTGCCCCGTCCGCTACCCGCAACCGCATCGCCTCGGATGATCTCCGCCGCCCGCGCAAGAACGCATCAGTCATCGCCATGGGTCCCGACAAGGGTCCGTTCCGCCAGCTGCCGGCTGCCACATACCGATCCACATACGACGACTCGTACACATACACATCTACCCGCAACCCCAATGCGGTCCTCCAGATCTAAACCTCTTTGCACTCGCCCACAACCACACCCATGTCACCATCTCTCCATACATTGGCCATCTCTATCCATCGGATGAAAACGAAAACGAGGAGAACTCCGTCGACTCGGGCCGGAAGAGCACAACATCGGGCACTGCGGTCAGCTGTGGCGTACCTGCGACTGCATCACGGATACCCTTGCTCTTGTCCTTGCTCTTGGCCTTGCTCTTGCTCTTGCTCTTGCTCTTGCCCTTACCCTTGGCCTTGGCCTTGCTCTTGCCCCTGCCCTTGCTCTTGTGCTTGGCTTTGGCTTTGGCCTTGCTCTTGGCCCGATCACCGCCGCCAGTGCCCGGCATCGCCAGCGATTGCGCAGCCAGGCGCCGCTCACGCCGCCGTCCGAGCCCATCGCCGTCAACAGCCGCTATTGGCGCAGCCTCATTGTTGCGACCGGTCGACAGCGCCCGTGCTTCGCTGTATGGCGCCAGCACTGTCCCGCGCCACATAGCCCGCCCGGCGAGCCAAGCCTCGCGCCGTGTCGCTGCCAACGCCGCAAATCGTTCGCTCTCGTGCCGCACAATGCGCGCCCTCATCTTGGCCACCGCCGCCCGTGCACCTTCCGCCCGTGCACCTTCGCCGCTCTTCTCGGCGGCGGCTACCGCCGCTCGCCGCCGCTTGGACCGCTTGCTCTCAGCCTTGGCTGCAGCCTTATTTCGCGCCGCGTCGATTGGTCTTAGCGCAGCCGTGAGCCGCACCTCGATCGCCGTCCGCGTCTCGACCAGCTCAGCAGAGTTGAACCACCGCAGAAACTCGCCGGTGTCGTACAACGGGTCGTACTCATCCATCTCGTCAGGATCCACAGCGAGCACCCCAGGCAGTCGTGCAAAGTAGTTCTCCACATGCGGATCGCGAATGATCCGCCGCAACACCTTGGCGTTCTCCGCCACAGGCGCAAACACATCGCGCAAAATCTCAAAGATCCGCGCCTGCACCCCGGGCAGCTCGGCCGCATGCAGAAACAGCCGGAGAAGGAGGACGAGCCCGCCAGAATCGCGGAATAGCGGCTGCGCCGCAATCGTCTCAAAGTTGAAATTGACAAAGAACGACGAGAGCTCTAGAGGCGTCAATCGCCCGTCGAGCAAAACACCACCATGGCGTTGTGCACCTGCAACAAGCCCACGTTCCGAATCAGCGTCCGCACTTCGGGTGTCGCGCGCCATGTCAGCGCGTGGATCGTGTTGATGATCCGCTCGCACAAGTTGGGCGAAAAGCCAGGCACGCTCTGCAAGCCCGAGAAGAGCACCACAAGACCCTTGACAAACGACGCGACCTCAAAGTTGCCCACGCCCTCGGCAGACCGCTCCTCGAGAAACCGCAGCAGCGAGCCGCGCGGATGCGCACCGCGTCCGCCGCCACTTGCAAGGATCGGGTACGCCGCCACAACGTCAAGCAGCGCTTCGCCAACAAGGAGTACAAACTGAGGCGCGTCCGTCATCCCGAGCAGCTTGCCGAGGAGCACAGGCCGCTTGCTCCCCAGGTCAAAGAGCAGCGTCCGCTGAAGAACAGGGAGAAAGCCAACCACAACACGCGGCTCCGCCGCAATCCCGTCGCCGTCTCTACCACACAGCAGCTCCCGGCACCACTCCAGCCACGGCACATCCCACAGCTGCACCAGGTTTGCCTCGCGCGAGAACAGTCGCTCCAGCCGCGCAAAGATAAATGACGCCACGTCGTCGCCCACCCTCTCGCCGCCCTCGCCCAACACAAGCAGGAGGCTCTGCACAAACGCGACGTGCCGAACGAGCTCGCCGCGAGACAGCGCGCCCTTGCCTCCGGTGCCGTCAACCATTGCGGCGCGGAACGCCGAAAACCACTTGGCTGCCCCACGTGAGCCAAACTCGGTCGGTCCGGCCAGCCCGCTCGTCCCGGCCTCGTCGCGCTCCTCACCGCCGTCACCGTCGCCACAGCCATTCTCGTCGCCATCGTCACTCACATCTCCGGCCTCCTCGCCTAGCATGATCGAGTCAGAGCCTTCGTCACCCAGAGCCTCGAGCCCGGCCCCGCCTGACGCCATCAGCACAAACGACGGCGAGAATAGCATCGGCGGTCCGGACCTCCCGCGCTCACGCCCGCTCACGCTCCCGCGCCGCGTCTCGCGCGCGTGAAACTCCGCTCCGTTGACAATCAAGCTCTCCAGCGCGCTTACTCCGGGCTTGTCCATCTCGAACCCGCACAACGCCTCGCCCACCAGTCGCGGCAGCGCAAGCGCCTCCACCGCCTGCAAGCTTGTCTTCGGCCGATACTGCAGGAGCAGCGAGAGCAGCGAGAGGGCTGCCTGTCGCATACGCGCGCTGTGAGAGCCCACAGCCACGGCCACAAACTCAAAGAGCCGCCGCCCTAGGCCGAACACCTGCTCCAGCAGCGGTGACACCACCGCAACCTCCTGCACAACCATAAGAAAGAGCTCCACACGCACAGGCGCCACTTCCTCGCTCGACTCGCGCTCGTCCATCATAAACTCAAACAATGCCTCGAGCTGTCCGCACGAGAGCCAGCCCACCACACTTCGCATCAGCCGCACCACAATGTGCGCAAGCTTCGGAAACACAAGTCCGATGCGGAGCATCCGCGGCAGCGCGTGTGGAAGCGCGAGGAGCGCCTCTACGTTGCCCGCTTCCGCCACTATCACGTCCACCAGGCCGTGCACCACCCGCCGTGGCACGCGTTCACTCCCGCTTCGGCCAAGCACGTCCAGCAGCGTCGCCACATACCCCGCGCGCAACACCGCGAGTTGCACACCGGCCCCGGTAGAAATCTCAGCTCCCGCAAGCCCGGACACAAGCGGGTACACCAGTGCAAACGGAATGTCGGAGCTCTCCTCAAACTCGGATCCCGGCAAAAGGTAGCGCACTAGCTCGGCGCCCGCAAGGTCGTCGTGAAGCTGTCGTCCCAGGCTTCCGCCTGCACTTCGCGCCGAGCCCACCGCCACACACAGCCCGAGAAGCTGGAACGAGGCAAACAGGACCTTGTCGCGTGCCTTGCGCATCTGCACCTCGTCTGGCCCGCGCACAAGCGCCGGAAGCACGCCCACCATTCCGCCAAGCACATCGATGCTCGACGCGAGGCTCGGCTCGTCTACCACCGCTTCGGTGCCTCGCACTCCGCGCACGCCAGCCAGCAGCCTCAACTCTGCCGTCGTGATGGCGCCCGCCCGCTTCGCTGGCGAGCCGAGCCCGCCAGAGCCCGAGCTCTTGCCCGACGGTGAGCCCGCTGCAGATCCAGGAGAGTGCGCGCTGCTTCCAGCTAGTGACACCGCTTGCGACGCAACCAGCTTGCCGCGCACCATCTCGTGGTCGCCTGCGCCGAGCTCGTACCAGGCCAGCACCTCGTCGTCGCCGACCGCCCCACCCACCACGTACACGTCCGAGACAGCGCCAGAAAACCCGCCGCCGTCGGTGCCGACCTCGACCCGTGCCGCACCTCCGCTTGCCACCTCGCGCGCAACCAGCTCCGCCTCTTCGACCTCGGTTGTTACACTCGCCCCGTTGATGTACACCCGCGTTCGCCCAGCCCCGTTCACGCTCACCACCAGAGCATTGAACTGCGAGTTGCCGGCAACAAGCGCGTGAGGCAGCACAACCTGCGCCTCGCCCACCGTCACTCGCACCATATACATCCGGCCGTCGGCTTTGCTCACAGGCCCAACACAGCCGTCGTTTGTCAGTGTCGAGCCCGACGAGACAGACGCCGAGTCGACCGTCCGCGACTCGGCCATGGCGCCGCTGCTTCCGCCGCTGGCCGCCCGGTCGCGCGAGCACGACCGCTGCCGTCGGGCCGGGCCGCTCAGCAACGGCACAAAGGCGAGCTCGAGTATCACTTCGCGATCATTCTGCACGCGAAGCAGCACCATTGCACTCTCGCTTCCGCCGTCAGCGCTGGTCCAAGTGCTCGCTTCGAGCGCGACCCAGCATGAGATCGCCCACGGTGAGTTAAGGGCCGTAGCCTCGAGCTCGGTGAAAAGCGCGCTGTCGCTGCCAGCTCCGTACGGTCCGCCGGGCGCGGCGCTTCCAAGCAGCACCACAGTCCGCGGTCGTGCCGAGTACGCCATTCCAGCAAGGGCATGGAGAATGTCCTCGCGTAACCGGTCGCGCTCGCGCCGCGCAAGCACGAGGCCCAGTTCGCTTTCGCTGCCCCATAGCCCGTCTCCAAGCCCCGCCAGAGCGTCGAGCGTCTTTTGCAGTTGCTGCGGCCAGATGGCCGTCGCACCAACCAGCCGCGCAAGGTCAAGATACATGGTCCGAGTCGACGGCAGCAGCTGGCTCGAGGGCGTCAGCGCAAGGTCGAGAAGTGTGGCGTAGCCCGAGGCCCGCGCAAACACAATCGCGTTTCCGCGCGACGCCTGCACAAGCGCATGCACCAGTAGCAGCGGCGAGAGCGGATCGAGATCGTCCAGCAGTGGCAGCGCCGCGAGCACAAGGCTGGCCCCGGCCACAGACAGGAAGCGCACCCCGCGCAGCGCTTCTGTCGCCAGCGGTGAGTGGAACGCCGACGACGCTGTCAGCTGCGCTGCAGGCCGCGACGCCACAACGTGGCCCGGCTCTACCAGCCCGCCACGGTAGACAACCCGCCGCCCGCGAATCCGCGATCCCGAGCTGCTCCTGCGCTGCGACGCCGACTCGGACGACCGCCGTGACGATGACGACGCCCGCGACCGGATCCGCGATCGCGCAGACCGCGACGACGCCCGCGATGCCGATGGCGCTGTTGACGTGTTTGAGACTGTTGTCGAGATCGACGAGACCGAGCCTGTCGATGAGACCGACAACATCGCCCCGCCTTCGCCACCCACCGTCTTGGATGCGGCAACAGAGAGCGCAATGAGGTCTTCCGTCGAGGTGATGGTCCGGAACGAGGCCACCGAGCTGGCCCGCGCATTGCCCAGCGACGGCGATGGTAGCAGCAGCATGTCACCTTGGTACGCTGCATGGTGCTGCGGGCCATGCGAAGTCGACATCGACGCAATCGAGAGCGACGACGCAGACTTGTGAATCGGCTTGGCAAACGCCGGTCCCGAGCTCGAGCCCGAGCCATGCACAACCGGTTGCGCCTCTCGCACCAGATCGTGTGCCGTCAGCAAAGCCCGCGCCGAGCTGAGCGCCAGCGGCAACGTCGGTTCGCTGCGATCAACCTCAGCCATGACCGCGGCCAGCTTGGGCGCGCGGACCGAGTCGCCCAACGACGACGAGACCGTGGTCGTGGTCGATGGCAGCAGATGCAGCTCGCTGAGAACGGCCGTCACCGACGGGCGCACGGCCATGTCCACCAGGCGGTAGAAGAGAGGCAACGGGAGCTGCGTCCGCATCCCGCGCTCGCCCAGGCCTACCAGGACCCGTGTCAGCTGCTCCATCTCGCTTTGGCTTGCCCGTCCAGCCCACAGCCGGCAGAGCGTGTCAACGACGGCGAGCGCAATCGTCGGTGGCGCTCCGGGTGCCTCGAGCGTCCGTGGAAGAGAGAGCAGGACCATAAGCGTCTCGCGTGACGCCGCCATCGCTCGTCCAGCGTCTGCCGACGTTGACACCAGCGCGTTGATTCCGTGCAGGAGCGCGGCAGCGACGCCTGCGCTCAGCCCAGGTGCAGAGAGCAGAGCCGTGTAGACTTTTGCGGCGTCCGGTGTAGCAGACGGCAGTGTGATGAGGGTATTGAGAAGCCAGATAAGGCCGTGAATCAGTTCGGTAGGCGGTGGCGACGCCGATCGCGATCGCGGCACCAGCAGCGTTTGCAGGTGTGGCTGGACCATGGCGAGTGAGAGCGGCTCTGACGGGAGCCGTGCGAGAAGTACCAGCACCTTGATGACGCCCAGGCCGAGGTCAGCCGGTGGCAGGGAGCGTGGACCCGAGGTGGCTGACACCACAAACGGTTCCCGGGTGAGCAGCGCGCACACGTTGGTTGCCAGCGCTACGTACGACTCGGAGGCTACTGACGGATGGGCCAGATGCAGGCTCAGCGCCGATGCCAACGAGTCCAGCAGCTCGGCCACCAACTCGGGCGCCAGCGGCGGCTGCGAGAGAAGAAGCTTGGAGAACTCAAAGAGAACCACACACGAGTGGTTGGTGAGAAGGAGCGAGCTGTAGTCGAGGAGAGCGAGGAGGCAAGGCCCGAGCCGCCCCACCGCATCGTCATCAAGATGGACAAGGGCGAGGACCAGTCGCCCGATGCCGCCCGAGAGGAGGAGCATAAGTGCGTTGCACGGGTTTGCCACTAGCACGTCGAGTAAGCATTGCAGTGCGCTGACGACGCAGCTTGTTGCTGCGGGCCGCCGCACGCCGCTCTGCACCCGCACACCAACCTCGACCAACACCTCGAGCGCCCACAAGTTGCCTACCAGCCTTGAGTTGCGGCCCTGGAGGACGAGGACAAAGAGTGCGTCAAAGGCGCGAGCGGCAAGAGCTGGTGGTGCCGCTGCCAGAGCCTCGGACGCCAGCACGCTCTCCATGGCCACTGCTGCTCCGGCTGAGGCCACCATGCGGCTTGCAGCCCGAGACGTGACTCCGAGCGCAGCAAGAAGGACAAGGCCGGCGGTCCGGGTCGCTACCGACGCGGCCTGTTCGACAGTCGCCACAATGGCCGCAACGTGGGCCATGAGCGGGTGCATGTCCGCGGCAGCCGCCGCCGATGGCGGCGCCCGCGCCTGCTGTCGCTGCAGCTCGTCAAACTCGAGCTGCGTGTCCGCGAGCTGTGCGGCGGTCGGGATGTGCTTGGGAAGAACGCGGCGAGAGTCGGTGCCGCTCACGTCATCGTCGATCGAGCCCAGCGACGGCGTCGGCCGCAGCGTCGCCGCAGTCTTGGACTCGAACATAGACGACATCATCGATGCCGCGTCAGTGAAGAGGCTTGCCACGTTGGTGAGGAGCGAGGGCTTGACCTCGGTCGCCGCGGGACCGGCTGGCGGCAGGCTGCCAGGTTGAGGTCCAAACCCGACAAGCGCCAGCGTAAGGACTCGGAGCGCAGCAGCAGCGACGTCATCAGCGACATCGTCTGCCCGTGCCCCTGCGTCGCCGGTCCCGCCTCCGGTGCTGGCGTTGCTCCCGTTGGTCGACGCACCGAGCTGAACCAGCCCCGCGAGCACATCCGGTGTGCCGCAGACCAGCGCATCGACTGCCGGTACGCCAATGACATGCGCCAGCATGCCCATGATTTTGCGAGCGGCATACAGTGAGGAATGTGCGGCCGCCAGTCCCGCCCTGGCCAACAGCAGGCCTAGATGTGGGACAGTGGTGGCAAGGCGCTTTCCGTCCGAGCTCGTGATCAGTAGATCCAAGACAGCAAAGGCCGAGCGAGCGTCCGGACGAGAAGCATGTGGATCATTCAAGATCCAGGCGAGCATACAAGCAGTCTCTTCCGGTCGCTGGAGCAGGGCAGCTGGCGAAGGGCGATCTGGCGACGAGGCCGGTGAGGCAAAGGCTAAGTCCGAGTACGCCGAGTGAAAGGCATTGGCAAAGGCGGTGAGAGCATCAGTAGCTTCATCACTTGGCAGCGGTGGCTCTATTCTCTCTGCCATTGCCCCCATTCTTGTCATGGTCTCGATCTTGCTCCCATGGCTCTTCTCCATGCCTAACTCTTCCTCCCTCCCGGCCAGTGCCTCCATGCCCACCTCCACCATTGCCAAAGAGGCATATCTCTGCCATAGCCGGTCCAAGCTCGTCCGCTCCCCACCTGGTGCAAGGGCAAGTAACGACCGCATCGGAGAAGGGGGAACGTTGTGCTGGAAGGGGTGGAAAGAAGGGAGGTGTGACCTGTCGTCTTCGTGTGGCCTGGCCTGCCCGTCTCCGGTGAGCTCTCTGGCGCGACCTGGTCCCTCTCTCCCCATCCTGGCCTGGTGGTCTTCGTCGTCTTATCTTCATACTCATACGAATGACCAATTCATGCGCCAAAAAAGGACATGAAGGATCGAACCTGTCATGGTGATTGATGAGGAGGGTGTGTGTGGTCATACGGCTGATCGGACGAACGTATGTGGGAAGGGTATGGCTCATCGATTACGATCCTGGGAACCAGGATCATCATGGGCAGAAAGGGCAGAATGAGTATGGGGGGGGGGGGGGGGGGGGGGGGGGGGGGGGGGGGGGACATACTACTCACCAGGCTTTCACAACTTGGTTCGCGATGGACAGATAGATGATTCCTATCGCGGACGAGCTGGACAAGACACAAGATGTGACTGTGCGTGGCAGTTGCGGCCAGTGTAGGCAAGGTGAGTCATGGGTAATCGATGAGCCATGGAGTTTGTTATCGATGTGGGCCATGGGCTTTCGATGGGCCATGGGTAGTCCCATTGTTAGACTCTTGCGATTGTTCAACGTTGGATTTGTCATGGCAGGCGCGCACCTCCTGCCCCTCACCACACACACACACACCCATACCCATGCCACCACATACACCGCTCGCACAAACACGCACATACACACACACTCACACACACACACACACACACACTCCCTCATACACACACTCCGTCTGCCTGTGTATCCCCCCCCCCCTCCAACACCATGGACCGTACAGGAGGGGACCAATGGAAAGGTCGCGATTCGGCACCGGGCAATGGCAGTGACAGTGACAACGTCCGCGCATCCACAAGCGCACCTATGACAAGACCGATGGCGAACAATGGTAATCAAGGACGTGAATGGTCGACATCGAGTGCGCCGCAGTTTCAGGAGCAGAACGCGCAAGCTCCGGGCGCATCGGCAAAGTACATCGCGCCGGCCAAGCTGCTGGCACCGCCACCGTCTGTGCTGGTGTGGCAGGCTGTGGCTGATAATGATGTTGAGGCTGTGCGGTGGTGGATCGAGTCGACTCGTGTCGCTCCAGGATCGCCGGATACCCATGGAAATACCGCTGTTCACGTTGCTGCGCATCACGGCCGTGTTGACATCCTCAGGATCCTGCTCGAGTCTGGCGGTTCGCCCGACTTTCCGGATGCCGCCGGAAACACCCCGCTTCATCTTGCGGCACACTTTAATCATCCGGCTGCGGTGGCGCTGCTGCTGGAGACCCACGCTGTACCGACGCTGCGGAACTCGTTTGGCGCCACGCCGCTCGACGATACGCCCGACGATGCCGAGCAAGTCCACACCCTGCTGTTGGCGGCGATGGAAAACGAGATTGTGACGCACTACCTGGAAGATGTTGACAACAGGCGGAAGCGATACGAATTTGTTCGGCTGACACTGGTCAACACCGTGCTCACGGTGGCGCAAGGTGCCATCGGCACTGCAGGCAAAGTTCGCATCGTCACCTACAAGTCGATCGATCGGGCGTACGCTGCACTCGACAAGCGCCTCGAGGGTCTGATGGCCCGTGGCTGGTCTGAGGCCCGCATGGGTGCCCGCCTCTACCGCCACACCGTCAACAAGGCCAAGGTCGCCCGCTCAGACAGGCACATTGCCGCCTACCAGCGGCAGCGCGCTGCGATCGAAGCTGGCATGCTGATTGTCGGCGAGCCGCCGCTGCCCACGTCACCGCCCCAGCAGCAGCAGCAACAACAACAACAGCAGCAGCAGCAGCAGCAGCAGCTTCCCTCCGCGACCACTTTGCCGCCGCCCAATGACAACGGGAGCAGCGAGGTTGGGGGCGTCGACTGGGCGCCGTTTGAGTCGGAGACCTCGGGCTCTGTCCCGTTCTTCTCCGAGGCCTTTGTCGAGAGCCTTGCGGCTTCACCGCAGTACATGGCGCGGGCACGCAAGGTTGTTGCCTCGGCCGCCATGCACCCGCGCTACCGGCGCGGGCCGATGCTCTCGGCGCTATGCACTGGCTCGCGCAACGAGACGTACAGCGTCCGGGTCCGGTTTGACCCCAACGAGGTCGACCCTACCGGCCGCCTTGTGGCCATTACTCATGCCAACTGCAACTGTATGTCTGCATCGACCGACATGCCCGGCCGGTGCAAGCACATCCTCGCCCTGCTCCTGCACTGGCTCGACGATCCGTCCGAGACCTCGTTTGTGGTGCCGGCGTACCAGGCGTTGCCAACCAAGTTCTTTGAGCGTCTCTTTGGCGTTTTCCTCAGCAATGACGATGCCACCACCGCCGCAGCTGCACAGGTCTGCTCGGTCTGGCGCACCATGGTGGCCCGGTTTGGGACCGGTCGCTGGCACTCGGCCGTCTTTACGCCTCCGCCCGAGGGAGGCAGAGGTGGGCTGATCATCGCCCGCGCCGCGTCCGCCGTCTCATTCTCGGGCCTCCAGCCGTACACCATCGAGACCTGGTTGAGGCCGCGGACTAAGTCGAGCTCCGGCACGTTGGTGGCCAAGGTTGACCGCGGCGTCGGCGCCGAGTATGCGCTCGAGCTCCACGACTCGGTCCTCCGCGTCTTTCGCAACATCGAACCGTACGTGCTCGACGGGACGACCACTCTCGCTGTGAACCGCTGGTACCACGTGGCGGTCACCTTTAACCAGATGTGGGTCCGGCTCTACCTCAACGGCGAGGAGGAGGCTGCCATGTCGTGGGGCCCACACAACGCCGCCACCGGCATCCCGCTCTGCATTGGCGGCGTGCTCGACGCCGGCGTCCCGGCCTCTTTCTTTGACGGCGACGTCCAGGAAGTCCGCATCTGGGCCGCCTCCCTCCCGCAAGCCCGCATCAAGCAGTCGATGTTTGCCTCGCCTGGCAGCGTCGTCGCCGCCGCCGTCGCCGGTGGGAGCTCGGCACCGCGGCTCGTCTCCCGCATCCGGGTCTCGGCCGCCGCCGACGCGGTGGTCGACGATGCCAACGGTGTGTCGGACCTCGAGCTCATGGGGGCCGATGAGTGCGTCGCTATTGCTCGCGCCGGCTTCCATGCCTTCTTTGGCCTGGCGCAGCGGGCCGCCGCGATGGCAGAGCGAGCCCGCCGGGCCGAAGCCGGCAAGAGCAAGGGTGCTGACGACGCCGGTGCGTCGTCGTCCGGCAGCCACAAGGCCGTAACCACCGGCGACGGTGACGCCGACGTCGTCCTCCACAACGCCATGCGCGAGCCGTGGTACATCTTCCCGGACGAGGTGACCTTCGGCGAGCTGCTGGGCTCGGGCGCGTTTGGCGCGGTGCACGCGGGCGAGTGGCGAGCTGCGCCAGTGGCCATCAAGAAACTCCTTGACGCCGAGATGGGCGGAAAGGAGCGACTGGAGACGTTCCGTCGCGAGATCTCGATTGTGGCACGGCTTCGCGGCTCGCCGTACGTAGTCCAGTTTCTCGGCGCGTGCATGCATCCGACTGCGCACTTTATTGTCACCGAGCTAATGTCGAACAAGAGCGTCGAGTATTGGATCCGCAGCCCAGACAAGGTGCTGTCGGTGCCGGAGCGGGTGCGGATGGGCCTCGACGCTGCGCGCGGCATGCTCCACATCCATGCCGAGGGGCTCATCCACGGCGACCTCGCGCTCCGCAACTTGCTCGTCGACGACACCTTCCGGGTCAAGGTGACCGACTTTGGCCTCTCGCGCGTCCGCACCGGCTCTCTCAACGAGGTTTCGCAGGCCATGGGCACGCCAGTCACCATGGCGCCCGAGCTCATCCAGGGCCACGCCATCTCGACCAAGGTCGACGTCTACTCCTTCGGCGTCGTGCTTTGGCAGCTCTACACTCGCGACGACCCGTTTCCGGGCCTTACTCCCATGCAGGTGGCCTGGCGGGTGGTCATGCAGGGCGAGCGGCCGGAAATCCCGGCCCACACTCCAAGCTCGCTGACACAGCTCATCGAGCGCTGCTGGGCTGCGTCGGCCGACGACCGGCCCGACTTTACCGTGATTGTTCGCGAGCTCTCGCTCATCGCGGTCCAGCCGCTGTAGATGCCACTGAAAGGCGGCTCAAGCAAACTTAGTCTGTTCACACACGTGGTTGTACCGCTTGGCATGGCCGACCGACCTGCTCTGGGTTCGGCACGCCGAGCCCCAGTGGCAGTTTGGCCGTGAGGTAGCGTTGGCCGGCAGCGCGCTGCGCGGCAGCGACATGAGGTAGTCCGGAATGAGGTCGCGGAACACGTTTGAGGCGCATCCGTGGCATGTGGCGGTGGCCTCGGTGATGCCGACCGCAGGTCCAGCTCCGTCTGGCGAGTATGTGTAGCTGCCGGCGGAGAGCCCGCCGAGCACCGCCTGCCACAGCCCATCGACTGAGAGGCTGGCAGACGCCATGTACTCGTTGAGAAACTTGATCTCGACGAGGTTGTCCCAGAGAACGTGGGCCGGGAGCCGCGGAAATTCCCATGAGCCGAGTGCGCGCAGCGCACCCTGGCCAAGCAGTGAACGGCAGCCCCAGTAGAGATCGCAGAACGGGGTGAGGCAGAGCGCACACTGGATGGCCGGGCCGTCGTACCCAGCCTCGTCGGTGCGCTTCGGGAGGAGCTCGAGGCAGACCGAGCACGTGAGGTGCGTCGGATCAGATCCACTGCACTGATGACCACTCGATCCTGGAGCGCGGCACTCGCGGCACTGAGTGTTGGAGACCCGAGGTGGCGCGGCCGACGACGCGGTCGAGCTGGTGACGCCGGCCGCCGCCGGCACCGGCGGTGCGCCAAAGGCAAACGTGAGTCCACCCCATGCGTGGCCCGAAGGATGTGCGCTGCTTCCAGGCAACGCCTCGCCTTCGTACTCGTCGTACTCGTCGTACTCGTCGTGGCCGTGGTGGAGATGGAGCGCAGCGGCTGCCGCTGTCCGCGAGCGGTACGGCGAGGTCGGCGGCGAGCGACGCGAGACGAGACTCTTTGCGGCTCGGTCTAGCGCGGCCAGCTCATCGGCGTTGCGCGCCTGGTCGGGGTGGTCCTTGAGAAAGGCCTCGACAAGGTTGCGGATAGTGTGGTTGTCGGCGGCGTCCGAGACGGTGGCCCGGCACATGGGGCACTCGTGCGAGTTCTTTGCCCACTGGGCGTAGCAGCCGGCGCAAAAGTTATGCATGCACGGGACCAACGCCATGGCCTTGTGCATAATCTCTTGGCAGATGGAGCAGGTGAGCAGCTCGGCGTATGGTGTGGCATCTGCGACGGCGTTCCCTCCGCCGCCGCCGCCGCCGCCGCCGCCTCCTCAGCGGCGGCCCCTGCGAGCGACTTTGCCCGCTTGGCCGGCGGCGGCTCGGTGGCTGCAAGTTGCGGCGAGGGCGAGCTCCCGTCGTCTGACACTGTTGACGCCATCTCCAAGGTAGCGTCCAGATCGTCATGATCGGAAGAGACCCTGGGGCGCTTCTTGGAGACAAGAACGACCGACCAAACAGCAGCAGGACAAGCTGAGGGCGAGTCATTTGTGGCAACTTGCGGAGCGACGAGAGAAATGACATCGCCCGAGTTGAGAGCATGCGATGCGCCATGAGCGAGACGGAGATCATTGACAAAGGTTCCATTGGTGGAGGCATCCGTGACACTGGCAGACGAGCCATCGTCGCTGACAGCAATGGTCACATGACGACCAGAGACCCGCCCGTCAGGAATCCTAGCTCCATTGGGGAGGTTCTTAGACCTTCCAAACACCATAGAACATCCAGCTTCGATCCATACTGCTGTCCTCTCTCCCTCCTCGCCATCCCTTCGCTCCAGTCGCACTCCTGCCATTCCCTCCCCTCCTCCGCCCCTAAATTCAAGTCTCAGCTGCAGACGAGTGTCGCCCGGTGACCTCCCCAAACACCACCATCACTCGCTATCGCCGGCTCCGCCCCTGTCATCGACGTCTAACATACGCTATCGCCGGCTCCGCCCCTGTCATCTACGTTGAATCCTTTACGGTACGGCTCGCGTCAGCGTAGAGCCCGTACGCATGCATTGATGGGCGCGGCGTCCAGAATCCAGTACACGACGGCGTGCCACCACTTGCGCGGCCACGCCAACCGGCAAGCTCGTCCGTCGCACGAAGATCCACAACATCCTCACGCTCTCTCGTCTGGCCGCTGTGTTCAACTCTGTCATGCTCTCCTTCCCGGTCGCCGGGGTCGTCAACGACAAGCTCCGCACCGTCCGCGCCCGCCGATCCGGAGGAGCGGCGCTGTTCGGCACCTCGCGCGCCTCGCTCATGATCCCAGGTGTCTGCCACCGCGACGGCAACTTGAGCATCCTTCAGGCGGGCGTCTACATGTCGGGCGCCATCACGTGCGGGCGCGCCTCCCACCTCAAGCCGCACGCCAAAAAGGCATCGCGCAGCGTCGGCCACGTGACCTGGAAGTTAAGCATCATCGAGTTGTTCACTTTGAGATGCGCGACAGCACGTCCGACCGACCGAACCGTTAAGAGTTATGAAAACAGGCTGCAAGCGGAATGCGGATCACCCTTCCCTCCCCCCGCGCGCTACATCAAAAGCCGCTCGAGGTTGGGTGCAACGACACGGACAAGCGAGATCGACCAGTCGATTCGGGTGAGGCCGAGATCAAGAACGCGGAGGCGCGGGAGGCGCGGGACGACCTCGCGCCCATTCGAACATCGCGCAATCAACATCTTCGGGTTGTTGATCGCCCGCCATACGTTGCAGAGTGAGAGCCACTCGAGAGAGGACTGCAGAATTGAGTTGAAGAGCAGTGCGCGGACTCCACGATGGGTGACTCTCGTGCAGAGGCCGAGATCGAGCACCCGCAGCGACGGCATCGCATCCAGGTCGGCTAGAGCGACAAGCGCGTGGTCGGTGACCGCGATGCACCCACGGATCCAGAGCGCATGCAACCGTGGCAGTTGCTCCACCGCGTGGATCACTACATCGTCGGTCACTGCCCTTCGGCAGTACGAGAGGTCGAGGCCGGTCAGCCGCGTCCAGCCCAAATCTAGGCCGCGCGCCAAGCCCGACCTCGTCAGCGCGCGGCACTTGACCATCCGCAGCCGATCCAGCGCCGCGCCCAACGCCTGACCTGCCGCCACCAGCTGCTCATTTGTCACATCTCGTGCCATCACTAGCGACTTGTCCTGCCACACACTCCAGTCGTGTGCGATCCGCCGCAACCGCCGGCATGTCGCGCCCAGCGCAAGCAGCGTCGACGCCGGAAGCATACTCATCACGTACGCTAAGACCTCATCCGGCAAGTCCAGCACGCCTTTCCTCGCCGAACAAGCACCAGCCATGTCTAGCACTCGGAGAGAGCAGTGATTACGAGTGATGGCTCCCGTCTCGATGGCATCGTTCCCTTGACTTTTGTCGGCGTGAGTGACAGCGCCGACCAGCTGCATTGGCCAGCTGCACAAGGTACCGATCTCGCCTCCTATGACTCAGATCCGCACGCAAGCCCACACGCACACGAATGCGCATGTAAGCACAGGCAACAGTCGCTCATCGTGGGTATGCTAACTTGCTACCGCCCAGCAGCCGTCGATAACTCGTGCCTTTGGCATCACAGCCGAACTCACCACAACATGTGTGTGATCTTTGACGATCATTGCACCCGCTTCCGTCCCGTCAACCCATAGATCCCATGAAGCGATCCTCCGATTACCCGAATGCCCCTCCCCCTCCCTTCCTCCCCCCTCCCCCATTCCTCCCCCTCATCTCTAATCCCCCTTCACCCAAAGCCCTCCAGCTCCCAAACCTCCCCGCATCACTCCCTCCTCCTCCCCCCCCCCAAAAAAAACAGCGACGACGAAACACACTCGCCAGCCAATCGTTGCCAATAACAATAATCGTTCGCCAACCACAATAATAGCCAACAACCATAGTCGCTGACTTCTCACCTCTCCAAACCCTTTCGAACATCGTTCGTTGGTCGTTCGACCAACTTCTCGCGCGCAGCACAGAAGCACCCCCCCCCCCACCCCCCCCCCCCCTCTCTTCCGCCTGGCGTTTATAGGAAGTCAACAGTGTTCGAAAAAGATAGTTCGAGGAACGACTGCACAAGTTCCAGGATGACGGCAATGCCGTAAAAGATCTATGTTGCGCCCCTGCGCCTACTTGTGCTGCCAAAGATACTCGAGATGCTCCAGAGAGGGTCACGGAGCCGGGTTTGGTTTTTACAGGGACGTAAGGGCAGCAACATCTTG